GCGCGCCTCTGCGCTCGTCAGCGGTGGCCAGAGGGGCCGTAACTCGGCGCGGCGTCTCATCTGCGCCTCGTCCGCGCCTCGTCTGTGCGCCTCGCCGACAGCTGGTGGCCACAAACACAATCAGCGTCGTAGAAAGGCGTTGGAGCCGCAGCGTCGTCCCTCCGCGGCGGCGGCCGCTCGCCTGGCGTCACGCGCGCCGGGTCAGGTCGCCGGTCGGCGAAAGCATTTGGGCGGCCCTCCGTCGCGGGCGATGCGGTCGGGTCTGTGACGGAGTCGGGACATTCTCCCAGGTGTATGTGTCGTGATTGCAACGTGCGCGCCCTGTTGAATCGTCTGCTATCGCTTGCCTCAATTTCCTCCCGGAGGCCGTGCCTCGGCGGAGCTCGAGGTCCACGGCCCCGCGCACGGTCTCCTGATGACGTCATGTCCCTGTTGCAGAGTACACGACGGCGGCGGGCGTGTGCGGCGTGATAGCTGTGATGGTGACGGTCCTGCTGTGCGTGACGTCACCGATGGTGCTGGCGATGCGCGTGACGCGCCGCCAGGTGTTCGTCAAGTTCCGCACGGCCGTGCTGGCCAAGCTGGTCATCAGTTGTCTCGGAGGTAAGTCGGCTGCCTCGCGCCGGTCTGACGGCCACCGCGGCGATCTCGGCGCTCGGCAGGCGACGTCCGCACTGCTGGAGAGGCTCTCCTGGTCCTCACAGCGGCTGACGAGCCTATGCTCGGCAGGCGGTATCCGCGCTGCTGGAGAGGCTCTCCTGGTCCTCACATCGGCTGACGAGCCCATGCTCGGCAGGCGACGTCCGCACTGCTGGAGAGGCTCTCCTGGTCCTCACAGTGTTTGACGAGCCCATGCTCGGCAGGCGGCATCCGCGCTGCTGGAGAGGCTCTCCTGGTCCTCACAGCGGCTGACGAGCCTATGCTGGGAACGCGGTGCTCAATGTGATCGATTTTCCCATTTTTGCATTGTAGTTCGCCTGGGTGAGTAAAGTGTCAATGATGTCTGCCCAAGTGTTAATGAGCTATAGTGAATGTTACTGGCATTTTGCTTACCCAAGGTTAGAAGCCTATCGATCAGTGTCTGCTCACCGGCTTATATTTGTGTGCGTATGAGGCACTGATATGATTCCCAACATTAATACCGACGTATATTCGCGTTTGCTCATCACACTCCAGTTTGATTATAAATACTTTAGGTTACAAATTGACTGCTTCAGTTCAGACTTTAAAACGCAGTTAAGAGTTTACTGCGAATGCACGATGTCAAGTAGGTACTTGTATCTTCCCGAGAGCTTCGACGTCAGCAAATGTGGAAATGCCACCAGCATCATCATTACCATCACGATAAAAACGACGATGGTGTCCATCTGAACTCTCCAGAGGGGTGCGACACCGAGCGGTTCCGAAATCACTCGTCCTGACAGCCTCGATATCTGCGCACCGGTCCGTTGACCCAGCAGAACGGCAGCCCCTCAGGCCAGGAGCGAGGCTGCTGAACGGTGCGGCTGCGATCCAGGACGCGGTCTCTAACTGACTTCCGTGCTCCGGTCAGGAAACACCACCGCTCGGCGGCCTCTTCAGATAAGCCGGCGCCCTTTTGGCATGAAGGCCATGGGGGGTGGGGGGGGGGGGGGGGAGATGGATTGCGGGCGGCGCTTGGGCGGCTTATCGGCCATGCCAGGCCTGCAGAATGAATCTCATTCCTCGCTCGTCGCGGCAGGCGCCGCCGGGTTTAAAGGGCAGCTCGCACCGAGGCGAGAGCGGCGCGTTACGCCGCGGGGCGGTGCTGAGCACGGTGCGCCGGATCAGGAGCGTCGTTAGGGCGCCGCTGTTTGGCAGAGCCGGGGGCCGCGTGCTGGTCTTTCGCAGTGAGAGAGGCTTGACGCAGCGGACCTTGTTAGAGCTCCGTGCCCCCGGAAATGTGTGCGATGGTTTTGGCACCAACGATTCATGCTCAAACGATTTTTTTTTGCACTTGTGCACTAGCATAATAGAACAGCGTGTTGTTTATGGCGTTCCCCTAGAAAGTTAGAAACATGATATTAAAATTTATAGCATCATATGTGTATCGCTGGCGTTGCGTCTCATTTGCACGTGTTGCGTGTTCTACGTTGATCTATGCAGTATGTACTGACGCGGCGTTGGAATGGCCACTTGCTGGATTTCGCCAAGTTTCGCAACAATAATAGAAAGGCAAAGCGCGTGCCTTTAACTTTGTCTTGAGTATGTGCTTTCAACTTAATCAGTGTTGTATTCAGGCGTAGGGGGAGGAGCTCACGGGCTCTGTAGGCGAATGGAGACATTTCGCCGCGCTTCTATTAAGGGATACCAAGCGTTAGATTAACTCATGAGTGCCCACAGAGAATAGATAGCGCGCTGTGTTCGGTACATATTTTTGGGAGAATTACGATACGCGGATACGCGTACTGATATAGGTAGGGCGTTCATAAACTGATGGGTAGATATGCCCCAAAACAAACGCAAAATTTTATTATTTGTGTTTCTTTTCGTCATAATTAGTTAAACTGATAGTGTTCTTGCATGCATGACAGCAAAAGATTAAGCCTCTGTGTGAATTCTCATGAAACTCCGCCATAATGTGGACCTAAACGCCTGAAAATACAAAAGAATGGGTAATACATGGGTCTAACTGGTAACGAAGGGTACCGACTGACCATGGGCGGTCTCACGGGTGGCAGGCGGATTAGGCAAAGGCAATCTCACCAGCGCAGGTCCCCAGGTTCCAAGCGGAGCCACAGGTGGATTCAAGCGTGTAAGATCTGATTATGTGAATCATTTGGGAGCATGCAAAGTATCACCATGCTCATCTGCACGTCCGGACAAGCCGCGGAATAACACGATGCAATTGCGTCTGCTGTGTTTGATGCCCTGCCACTTACCTTAATCGCTAACATTTCACAGAGCTTTCATTAGCAGTGGTGAGGCGGAACTTTTGGTGGAAGCCACACGTGGTGCTGGACGCAAACGTTTGCGGCAGCAAATTAGTTTTGGAGAGGATCGTGTGCATCGAGCTTGATGACTTGGCACTGACGTAAGCCGGCGTTGGATGCCAATCCCCCACAAATTATATTACGCATATCGATTTTTGTGTGACTCTCTCAAAGGCCACCATTCCATTTGGGCCAATTGCGTTGTCAGCAACGCAAAAAATGAAGGAAATATATTGCAAGATAGCACAACACGAGCGCATGCAGACGGGGAGACCTCGATTCTGTCTGTCACTAGCAGACTGTGAGCTCTGATTGGCACGATATCCGAATGGCAAGAAACGAAAGAGATTTGATTGATAGTGAATAAAGGTAGTCCACTGCGGCCATGTAATTGGGCTTGTATCATTTGTGTATGCTGCTGTACGTTTTCTCTTTCACCAGGGCGTAATTCTAAAATATTGTTGTGTCATCAGCAATTTCCAAGCGTTCTTAACGGAGAGCGGTCAGAGCTATGAATGGAACAATACTGCCCCTAAGACTAAGCCGGTATCTCCGTATCCTACTGCAGCTCCGGGATCGGATCAGCCGCGATCTTTACTTCCCTAATTGTTTGCGTGTGAGTGGATATTGGGCCCAAAAGACCGCGTACGGGACGTGCCCGACGCAAAAAAAAGAAACAGCCGCTCACGGGATCAGATGTGGCTAGGAAGCGCATTGGAAAAACACAACAGTGGAGATGGCATTGGCTGGATCCAGTTTCTCCTGGTTAATCAGCCAGAGCTCAGCGGCCAATTTCGTCCGGCCATAAATGACGACAAATTGCTGATGAATTCTATCCGCTGTGCTTTCGAAAGCGCCCAACTCGCAGAAGCCACTGTCGACTAGTTGTAATGGCGCGTCTATTTGGGGCCCACGCTGCACGCCCACGCCCGGACTTGACGGCGCTCCTCCTGCCGCCGGATATGAGAAATCGATAACTGACTACCGGCCCACGTGACTCAACCGACAGGAGCTGGGAGGGCCAGGAGCCACGGGACGTCGTGTTGGCCGAGATGTCGCAGAGACCGCTGTCCTTACGCCTGCTCGCCGTTGCAGTGACCAGCTGCGTCCTCTCGCTGATCCTGTTCGGCATTGACCTGGACGCCCGCAAGCTGGGGGAGGAGACCGGATACTACGTCACGAGAGCTTGGTCCTTCTACCTGCTGGTGAGCGTCCGCGAGAGGTCGTGCCGTGTTTCGCTGACACTGAGAATGAGGATACGGCCGCCGTCATGTGCCTGCGCTGAGCCTGACCGCAGGAAATCACGTGCTGGGGGGGGGGGGGGGGCTTTATCTCCTGCTTTATACCCCCAAGCCTTGCCCTCGCTGGTGTCGTTGAGTCGCCGACGGCGTGGGAGCCGAGAGATAAAGCGTGCTGGGGGGCTGCTTTACACCCTCTAAGCCTTGCCCTCACTGGTGTCGTTGAGTCGCCGACGGCGTGGGGAGCCGAGAGATAAGGCGTGCTGGGGGCTGCTTTACACCCTCTAAGCCTTGCCCTCACTGGTGTCGTTGAGTCGCGGTAGGCGTGGGGAGCCGAGAGATAAAGCACCGTCCCATGGTTTGCTCCGAGGTGCACTAACCACGTGCGGCACGAACATCTGCAAACCAGACGGTGTCAATGCTATCTGTTGGTGCTATTTTCCACAAAATCACCGCCGCAGTGCGCCCGTCTGGTGCGCGGCCTCGCTGTTCATCGGGTGTGTGAGCTAAGCCTAGAGCAATGACTCTGCGTGTGATATTGCTAGTCTAAGGTATTTCAGACACGCTTGCGAGGAAAGTAGTTTTACTTCCTGCAGTAGGATATGAAACGACTGGGCTGTGAATTCAATAGGCTTGGAGAGAAGACCTGATGCTGCTGCAATTGCAGCTCGTGGAAAGACGTGCTCAGGAAGATTTTACCTCAGTTCTCAGACTTGACAATCTCATTCACGGCATGCATGGTTTCAGCTTTATGAATAATGCAGCTTTCGACGGATTCCCTCGTGGCCGCAAATATGGAATTAAACACTGCTTCGACTTTCAACCCACAGACGTTTGTCCTTTAGTTTACAGGATTTAGTTTAGCATTTGATTCTGCTGTCTACAAAGAAACCCCATGATTACGCTTTCAAAGCAGATGTCAGTTCCATGTGCATCACTCGTCCACAGATGTAGAGGGTAAACATTTACATGTGCTAGCAAAAGGCTGTGGATGAATCGTTCTCAAACTTTTTATTTCATGGAAACTCACGCACATTAATCAATCTCTAGTATACTGAGCGATGAGGGCCGGCACACGGATACTTAATCTTCTGGGTCCTAGAACACCGCCCTGAAAAACAGATGACTCTCAGTGCGCACACCGTAATTATATTCCAATCAAGGTGTAACCACTTGTAGCCCGGAGATGCATGAAGCCCGGAGACGCGAATCGGAAAGTGATCTTCCCAACGTGTATACCGAAACATCCAGCGTTAAAAAGTGGCCTGTATGTGTACCGCAATGTGTCGTTCACTTGGAACCCACCGATTCTTTGAACCAACTGAGCGCTCCGAAACGGAGCGATGAGGCTCTCGGGTGTAGTTGAGACAGACTCGCTAAGGGCCCTGGCCGCCTGAAAGCTCGATTGTGACCTTTGCTAGCTGAGAGGTCCCACCGGCCCCCCGCCGCAGCATCCCCTGCTCTGGCTGAGAGGTCCCCGACCTGCCACCGCAGCATCCCCGACTGTGGGCGGGAGGTCCCACCCGGCCCGCCGCCGCAGCATCCCCGACTCTGGCTGAAAGGCCCCCCGACCTGCCACCGCAGCATCCCCAACTGTGGGCGAGAGGTCCCACCCGGCCCGCCGCCGCAGTATCCCCGACTGTGGTCGCGTCTTTTGCCCTCCGTCACCCGCGTCAGCGCTCTAATTGGCCTTATTGAGTCGGCGCCGACGCTCGGGGCGTTCACGTGACTGACCTGATCGCGGTGAGAGGCTGCCGTGACGACGCCGAGCCGCGTCTCGTTGTCTGTGATCGCTCCGACGCAGAAACCCGGTCCCACGGAGATTGGCTGATTGCTGTCTGCAGAGTGGAGGACCGCTGGTGGACGGGGCACGGACGTGTGTCGCGGCCCGCTTGGCATTCAGCGTGGCATACCAGACCGCGGGTAAACTGTCAGCCGGTCCAGCTCCGACTACCATCAGCCTCACAGCCCGGGTTGGGTGCGGGCGCTGAGCAGCCCGGTAGCCTGTCTGGCATAGGTCACGGGAACCCGAACAGCTGGTCCTGAGACAGAGTTGCTCTGTCTTCTCGTGGCGAATGCTGCTGCACTCAGAGCGAGCGTGGGAGAGCCCAGCTGTCGGAAGGCGTCGGCGGGAGATTCCGACCGACCTCCGAACCTTAAACTTTCAGCGATCTTGCCAGTTCCCATGCATTTCAACGATCTTGCCAGTTCTCATGTATTCGCAACGAAGCCGCCGCGGACGATCAGACAGTGGTCGTGTAACTGGCAAACTTCGCGATAGTGTGGGCTGCAGTTGGCAGGCAATTCTGCGGTTGTTCTTGACGATAAAAAGCCCAGAACGTTCCATTTCCTCGCACGGCCATTATCATCAGCATCAGCCCGGCCGCCGACGGCGCAACAGTGCATGATGTGCTTCATATGAATTGGCACCTCAGAGTGAAAAAATTATGACGCTTCACTTCGATCACCACAGCAAAGGCTATTTTACGCTATCAGACTGCTTGGACGAAGAAGGCTAATCTAGTTGTTAGTATTTTATGCATGTGGGGACTTCTTGGCCCACATCAGCCTTGCTATTATTTACGGCTTTGAGCAGCGATGATCATCGACGTGCACCTTTCACGGGGTCTTTACGGTACTTTTACCGTATCAACTCATTGAAATGTGCGTTGTTATTTTGGCAACAGCCAGGATTCATTATTGCAACAGGCGCTGCGTAAAAAACATGTCAGGCGGCCATTGAAATTTATTTTGAAAATACCATGGTATTTGCCACACATGACTGGGGTTAGTGCGGTGTAGCAGCGTCTGTTTGACGTCCCTTACGCCAGTTGTACCATTATGGGGCACTTGTTTGGTGTCTCTTGTTAACCGTGCCTGCTGCCGTACAATAGATATTTCGTTAGCAACATAAATAAGAACGAGAAATGTAAGAAATCAGAATCACCCCTATAAATTGCATCATTAAATTTGTGTGGCATGCTCTTGCAAAGCTGGCAGTACCCGCAGCGTTAACACCCGGACTCTGAGCCCAGCCGTGACACCGCCTGATCGCCTCGCGCTCACCTCCCCGTGTGTCTCCCTGCCGCAGGTGCTCTTCCTCGGCCTCTGCGTGACGCTGTGCGCGTTCGCCGCCGCCGAGTTCGTGCTGGCCCGCCGTCTGGGCGGTGACCCGGTCAAGATGGCGCGCGACCCAAGCGGCACGCTGGCGCCCGTCATCTCCAACCCGGCGGCGCGCGAGACGCGGCTCGCCTCGCCCACCGCCAACGGCGTGACAGTGATCGTGGCGCAGCAGCCGCGCCACGTGCACCAGCGGCCGCGCAACGGCGCGCCGCCGGCCGCGCCGCCCGCCGCGCCGCACGGCCAGCCCATCCCGTACGACCCGCGCAAGTCGCCGCTGCGCTCCAGTCTGAAGAAGAAGCGCGTGGAGAAGCGCGAGAGCTCGGACGAGTCGATCGACTCGGGCGTCATCATCATCGGCAACCCGACGCCTGGCTCGCCGGCGCCCGGCCGCAGCAAGAAGGTGCGCATCCAGACGCTAGACACGGCCGTCTGAGAGTACCGGCCGCGAAGAGCCTGTGACGCCCGCCGGTTGTCCGTGACGCCGGCGGACGCCTGCGGCGCCTGTCGCGCCCGTCGCGCCCGCTGGACTGCGATGTATTCCGGGACGTTTGTCGTCCGTGCGGTCTCCCGGCCGCGAACCCGGGGACTGGCCCTGGACCGGCGCGCCGCGCGGGCCGGGCGCCGGCGGAGGTGGCTACAGACAGCGTGGCGGCGACGCGCGGACGGACGACCAGGTCCAGAGGGGCACAAAACCGTGACCTGAGGTGTTTGGTGACGAACTGCGCCGAAGGCGACGAGGGCGCAACGCGCCATTGTGTTGTGATTGTCTTCTCGTCATGTTTTAACTTGTCAGAGTGCGACGGGCGGCCCGCGCCCAATCACCGGGCCAATTAAGCCGATTTCGTATGCATGCTGAGCGATTCCCCGTGTCAGCCTCGGCATAATTTATGTGCCGTAATGTGGCCTCCAATAGACGGTATATGAGATGAGCCCGATGCGAATTTATGCAATTCGCGAGCAAATGGCTTCATTCCGACACACAGCGTTTTAAACAGAGCCGTGACCTGGCGTGTTCGGTCCGGTAAGGTGGCTAACGGGCATGAGACAGATGATGATTTGATGGTAGGTCCACAGTTTCTGGATATCTCGTTCGCGCCATTGCCACCATTCTGGACTGACGGCTGACCGAATGCACCCACGCTAAAAGTTGGCTTTACTTTTCGTGTTAAAAGTTGGTTTTGGAGAGGATGACTTTATTCAAATATGGCGTTCTATTTTTGCTCTGATGCAGCATAAGTGTCCTCAACACGTGAGGCCGTTGAATTAATTCTCCCTGCTCTAAAAGCGTCAGTCCACAGTCGCTTTCGATAATCGCTGGGCCAAATCGTGCGAGAAAATTCATGCACATCTGATCGTTCTACCATTCCAAGTTTGCCTGACGACGAGAGCCCCGTGGCTATGTGAGATCCAGGGCTCGCGCAGCGCCTTTAACTCGGGTTGAAGGCGAGGACAAGCCGCAGTTTTAGGGGAACGCGTAGTCCCTGCCGTCAGCTTCAGGAAGACAGCTGGTCTCTGCCGTCAAGTGTTGAAGTGCTGATCAGCTGTTTGGAGCCAGTTTTAACCGCACGGTTTCTGGCAATCTCGGTTACCACCGTTGACGTCGGCAAGCGGCCATCCGTCACAGTTGCAGATGGGACGCGCTGGCCGTCACAATTGCCGACGGTGACGTTCTGGCCGTCACAGTCGGCAGAGACGATGAGTTGGACGGCCGTCACATTGACTTTTGTCGTGATGGCCGCGGGCCGACCGTCACAATCGGCGATAGTGACGCTGTTCCGTCACCGTGGCGACACGCCAACCCTCACCAGCGCGTCAAGAACAGCGAGTTAGTGGCGGCACTGACCGCCCCAACTGACGCCGGTGACGGCTGGCCACCACAGCTGGCAGTGTTGACGGATGAGCTGTCACAGACGCGGCAAGGCTGAGAGGGAATGCTTGATAAATGAGCTTTCATACCATCGTAGACACCATACGTACGAGGTCATGGGCCCGTAGACACCCATTTACCGTGTGCATTGAAGGATTTGCATTTCCTTATGGGGGAGGGGAGGGGGGGAATTACTCAGTTGGGGGAGCACTCGGCTTCCGCGTGGAGTGTTAGGGTGCGATTCCCGGCTAACCCTCTGGACGCTGATGTTACCCTTCTGATCACCAGCGTTACGCGAGGGGCTGCGCGACACCTCAAAGTGCACAAAAAAACTTGGAAAACGTCGCAAATGAACGCAGGGGACATGCGGGATGGTGCACCATGGTCACCCGGGTTGGCTTTGGCGCTGAAATAATGATCGTTATGTCCATGTGGCCTCTGATATATGCGTACTATCAGCCATATATATATATATATATATATATATATATATATATATATAAGCGGGACAAATGTCAACTGAATGCGCAACGCCACAGGTACCCATTCAGGAGATGGATACGAGGAGAACGCCATGAATCCGGGCGGATTCGGATTGTGTAGTGAAAGCAAAGATGCTACGATAATCCCCAAAATTCAAATGTCTCTGTGATTGGTGCATTGAGTCGCAGGGGTGGTGCCAGGTGCTGACAAACGGGTGAAGGGTGGATGTTATGATTTGCACGAAAGATAACGCAGTACCAGAAGCACAATTTGACCCACAAAACTGATATGTAGCCGCATATCGATGACTTCATAACATGGTGAAAACAGGGGAACGAACTTTAGTCCACTCTGATCTGTATCAATCGCATGGATTGTTGAATACAGCACCAAGTTTTTGTGTATTTTGCGCTGCATTCGGGATTTTAGCCTTTGGTCATTGGGCATGTTCCGCCGTCACAAATATCGTCAATCCACTGAACACGAGCCACTTTCGTTGTTGGTCGCGTAATCACACCACGCGATTTAAAACGCATCGTGGCAGCTAAGTTCCCTGTGTCCCCGACCTTTCCGGCCGGAACCTTCTACCTGGTATAAATCTTTGGTAACAGTACTCTCAAGATTAGGAAGTGTAGGAACAAAGATCAGTATTTAATCAGACCAGGTGCCCTTGTCTCACGCTCCGGGCTAGAACGTGGGCGCTCTTGAAACACATCTGAGAGACAGGAGTAAAGTTTCTTATTCAGTTCAGGATGGGGCTCCAGCCACCCCACGCTCGCTTACTCTAGCCCCCCCCCCCCCTCCGCCCCCTCATCAACTTGGGGTCTACCTCTCGCGACGTTGAGAGAAAAGTGGGCCAATTCGGGGGGACGGATGCGTTGAAGAATTTTTGTGACCGGCTTGGACCACTTTTCACTGTTCAGTCTCTCCACTCATTTTGCGAAACTTCGCCCCTGCTGAGAGAAGAGCAGATTAGGAAGGAACCTAAGCCGGCCTGGCATGACTTCCCACGCGGAAAGCGGTCTGTACATCCACGGGGCAGAAGCGCCGCGTGCTCGCTCTGTGTCGCGACAGCCCGCCGACCGCGCGACAGGTCATCGTCGTCCTCAGGTCAGGTCATCACGTGACAGGTCATATCGTCGCTCGGTCAGATCATCCCGCGGGAGTCAGTGACCGGGGTCCGGCGCCGGCCCACACCCTGCTGGCAACTTCCAATGCAGCCCCATCTGGACGGGCAGGAACTGGAGTCAGCACTTACTCGACAGCGCGACAGATTTGAGCGGCTTCCCCGCCGACGTTCTCGACGCAGGTGCATAGCGGAGAGTGGCGATGTGGCGGTACTGTTGGCACCGCGCGCGCCGAGCCTGACGTCGGCTGCCGTGCGCCCCGTCTCCAGAACCTGTCAGAAGCGGTCCTCGGACGCCCGTCAGCGTTCGATGACCGACCCGCGGGCGCTGGGCATGACCGGCGGCAAGATCGTCAGCGCCAGCCGATGACGGCCGGCGCCCGCTGGCGATGATACGCAGGGGACGTTTGATTAGCTTCCCGGGTCACCCGCGTGTGCTGTACGCCGTATTGTTTGTGTTTCCCCATAAATACAGCTGAAACACGTCGGAGAATTACCTTCCTCCAGTTTCCTGACCAAAACCAGCCAGATGCAACGCTGTTGGCGCTGGTCAACAACGCTGTTGGCGCCGGCCAATCGTAGAAGAGGCCGCTCCAGCTCCCAACCCACCACCTGGTTACATGATCCCGTTCGGAGGATGGCATCACAACACGCATGCCATATGCTAACTAAGTTTTGTTGTTCGGTTCCGGGAAAAACATAATTAGATCCATCCTCAGAGGAAAAGACCCCCAAAAAAGTTGGGAAGTACCGGGAATCATCACTCAAAAGCTAAAAGAGCATCTTAAATGGGGATAGCATTAGAATACCATCCAAAAGTGTTGTAAGTCGTGCGCCATAAATATACAAAACAGTATGACCTTTAAAAATCAAACCTGGTCATTAAGGGCAAGGTTTAGCCTACCTTGACCTTGGATATTCAAAAACAGTGTGAACGATAATAATACACTTTAAGCAATCTAGAAAACTTCTTAAGAGTGCAGTTCCAGCGAGGTATAAGCGATAGTTATTACGTTTGAGCCAAATGTCCAAGATGAGTCCTCGAGGAAGATGTCACAGATCATAAGCAGTCAAGGTCGACCCTTCCTTTTTTGCCTGCGCGAAAGCAATGATAACTCAGCAGCCCAAAATTTATGCACGATACTGAGAGTCGCTCGTCGTTTGATACGGAAAAACGTGAGAGGCCCTGATCTCCATCTTCCCTGCGCAAGGTTTAAGGTCTTGCGAAGACCTACAACAAAGACCACATTAAAATATGCGAATCCTAAACCCCACCCTAAAATATGCGAATCGATCCGCATAGATATCGTACATAACTCAGCCCTATCATCCCGGACGGGCGTCCTAACACCGAACAAACATATGCAACACCTACAACAGCTAACATGTGCAAATGTGGAGCAACTGTCAGATATTGGTACCGATGTTATCTTTAGCTGTTGCCCAGAGTCTCCGCCGCCGGCTCCCTGACAGCCGCCGTCTCGGCCGGCGCGCGGCGGCGGTCGGCCAAGTGGCGGACCGTGTCACGCGGCCGCTCACTCCGTGTGCCGGCCTCACCGTGGCCGGCAAATGGTCCCGCGGGGATTAATCGAGGCAGCCGACGGCGGCCGACCACCGGGCGCATATGGGAAACACGACGCCTAATTGGATTGTGATGGAACATGGCCGCCTATCCGCCTCCGACCTTGCTCTTTCTCAGCCGCCACCCGGACATTACTGTTTTTCAGCCGACATCCGGACATGGTTCTTTCTCAGCCGACATACGGACATGGCTCTTTCTCAGCCGACATCCGGACACGGCTCTTTCTCAGCCGACATACGGACATGGCTCTTTCTCAGCCGACATCCAGACATGTCTCTTTCTTAGCTTACATCCGGACACAGTGCCCTTTACCAGATGACATCCGGATGCACCGCTCTTTCTCAGCCGACATCCGGACACACCGCTGTTTCTCAGCCGACATCCGGACTTTGCTCTTTTTCAGCCGACATCCGAACCTCGCTCTTTCTCAGCCGACATCCGGACATTGCTGTTTCTCAGCCGACATCCGGACTTTGCTCTTTCTCAGCCGACATCCGGGCACAGTACTCCTTTTCAGCTGACATCCGGACATCACCGCTCTCACTCTCAGCCGGTATCCAGACAACGGTCTATTTCGGCCGGCATCTAGCTCTAGCTCAGCTCTATCTCCGAATATGGTCCTGCTTCATAACAATAACCACGGTTGGAAATTTGTGTGTCACGGACCGCCAGGGTCATTTGAAGACTGGACTCCTTCATCAGGTACCATATGGAATGCGGTAGTGATATAGGCCGGAGCTCCTGGCCAGGGTGCTCCGAACCATGAAGGCCAGGTCCGGTTAGGTCCTGGAGCGGAGCGAGCTGCCCACTACCACCACACTACCACCGCTACCACCACAATACCACCACTACACTAGCACCGCTCCATAAAACAGCTATATGTGAACAAACGACAACGGCGTGACATGAGGAATTAAATGTGGTCCTAAGATAGTGCGTAGTTATAGGCATTATATAGGTATAGGGATAGGCATATAGGCATATAGGCATTGAAACGCGGGACACCGCCATATCAGCTATTGCCCCATTTTTTCCTCGCACGAGTGAGACATTGACGTGTCTGTCATCTTGTGTATGTCGAGAGGGCTCTGAGCTGGGAGATCCGGCGGTCAGTGCGAGCCAGGGACCACAAAATGAGCCAAGTAGATTTCGAGATATCAAAGGTAGAAGTGATCCCCGCATAGGATGCGAGCGACATTTGACCCATAAAAACAGTTAATGCCAGGTTTAACCTTTCGTCGTAGACGTAAGGCAGGACATACACCACTTTATGAGACAATTAATACGCGATCCGCTAACTAGCGGTCACCGAACACCGCTGTCATAGACCCAATCTCAATTAAGTCAGCAAAATGAAGGTGTTCGCCGTGCTTACAGCACACGGTCGTCACCGTTTTACAGTGGAACAGAACGCCAATCCGGTGTGGGATAGCTTTCTAATGTATGCCACTAGCAACAACATCTAGAAGGCGTCCGTGGGCCAAGGCCAGGCCGTCGGCAGCGGCATGCCCCGATAATGCCCATGTCAGTATGAGTCACCACGTGCACACAGCGCGCGCTATCGTCGACCTTTTGTGCCAGGAATGGAGGAGATGCACACTGCATCAGGTCTGCCAGTGGATATCCTGGGTCTTGCAGGTGGCATTTTTTTTAAACACTTAACCCGAACCTTTTGAGCGGATGGATTTCTGCTCACGCTAAACAGTGAGCTTGCGCGAGCCCTAACCCCTACCACCTGATCTCGCAGTTTCAGTCCAACGGCGAAATTTGGCGGCGGAAGCTAAACGTGCCGCAATGCACGGCACGGCACGGATCGTCCCGCCCTATGACGTCATCTGATCTTTATCGGTGGCCGCTGCCACCGGCCGCAGATCATTCCTGTCAAGGACAAATAACGAGCGCCTAAGGCGACTCGCCACGCCACGGGTGGGTGAATCGGGAGGCAGGCGCTCTAACCGAGCAATCGGGACGGTCATTGGCGATATATACATTCGCGTTGCACAAATGCTGATTGATTTCAGTCGTTTGCGAGCAAGTTCTCTTCGTCCCAAACATTTTACGGAACATGCATTGAAAAAGAAATCGACTCTATATTCTCTCGGTTTCTATCAACCACCGTGATTTCATGACCTGCGCCTCGGCGTCAGCGGCCGGACCAGACCGCGAACAGGAAGCGGGAAGACCCCGTCGACAGAATGGTCGCCAAGCGGCCCTGCCAGGAAGCATCACGACCTCCTCCCTTCTAGAACTCATCCTCCTCGTCGCACTTCTCGGCCACGCGCAGCTTGGCTGAGCGGCTGCGCGGGTTGGCGGCCACCTCCTCCTCGGACGCCACCACCACGTGCTTGGTGACCGGGCGCCACCACTTGCGGGCGGCGTGGCGCACGTCGGTGGCGGCGTCGGCCGGCAGCGCGGCGCCATGTCGGCCGACCACGTGTCGGCGCGGCTCTGCCTCGCTCAGCTCGCTAGCCTGCAGCTGCGCCTTCACTGCTCGGTCCTCGAGCGAGTGGAACGTGACGACGGCTAGCCGGCCGCCGACGCGCAGCAGGCGCCGCGCCGCCACCACGCCGAACGCCAGCTCGTTGAGCTCGTCGTTGACGAAGATGCGCAGCGCCTGGAACGTGCGCGTGGCCACGTGCGCGGGCCGGCCGAGCTTGTCGCGCCGCTCGCGCGCGCAGACGGCGCGCACCAGCTGCGCCAGCTCGCCGGTGGTGCGCAGCGGGCGCAGCAGGTAGCGCGCCTCGACGATGGCGCGCGCGACGCGGCGCGCCATCGGCTCCTCGCCGTAGGCGCGGATGATGCGCGCCAGCGCCTCCTCGGGCGCGTGCGCCAGCAGCTGGGCGGCCGTCGGCTGCTCGGGCCGCCGGTCGCCGTCCATGCGCATGTCGAGCGGGCCGTCGCGCGCCAGCGAGAAGCCGCGCGCGGCGTCCTCCAGCTGCGTACTGCAGCAGCCGCAGTCGGCCAGAGCCGCGTCCAGCCGGCCCGGTGACACGCCCGCTGCCGGAGCAGCGAATCACGTCACGCCACGGGGCGGGATTATCACGCGAGGTTATCACACCGGCAGGGTTTGTGGGTAGTATGTACATTGCAGCATGAGGGCATGGGTGGGGCTGGCTTGTTTACGGACTACAGAGCGCTTCAAAGAAATGGAGGAATTTGGTTTAGACGAATGCGCAGTGAGACGTTGCGAGATTGTTTTAAAAAAACATGGTGACACTACCTCTCAATGTTGAAGTGCCTTCGTGATCCGGTCCAATGTCAGTGTTACAACATGTCATTTGCGAGTCGCCGCCCCGGGCGCTCGTAGCGTAGCCCAGGCCAGTTTATGAGTCACACATTCACAAGCACATTGTATGAATAGCATGCCATACAAATTAGAGCATAAATCAGTCCAACGAAGCGATGGCAACGACATGGAATTAACGACGCCGGAACGGCTTGCGCATACGGAGCTCACAGAGACGAACACGACAAAGTCTACGGCCGATATATTGTCGTTGCCGGTGCGCAAGTGCGTACCCTGCTGCATGAGTTGGGGCAGCTCGCTGAAGCGCCCCAGCAGGGGCACCACCCGGCCGCTGCCGCGCCAGCTGGCCGCCAGCTGGCGGGCGCGCTCGTGCGCCGCCGGATCGCGGTCCAGGGCGTACACGGTGAGGCCAGGCGTAGTCTCCAGCAGCAGCCGCGTGTGACCTGAGGTCAGAGGCGGGTCAGGGGCGAGGTAGGAGTGGGGTAGGGGCGGGTCAGAGGCAAGGTAGGAGTGGGGTAGGGGCAGGGCAGGGGCAGGGCAGGGACAGGGCAGGGCCGGGGCGGAGGCAGGGGCAGGGGCAGGACAGGGGAAGGGTCAGGTGAGCATCGAGACTGATCGATATTTCTGGGCACTGCGAAGGCACGCTACAGTTTAGCGTGGCAGAAATAAGGCGCAGCTAACCGCCTGAGCTGATAAATCGGTCCTGCACGCCAGCTTTGCGCTCAGTGGCTTGACTAACGCGAGGCAAACAGCTGGGTGCGCAAATGATTAGTGCCGGCTGAAGCGTAGACATGTAATAACGTGGAAATGTGCTGATAGGCCCAAACATTAAACATTCGGCTTGACAGGCATGTGCTGTCCTGATCAAGAGAGCGATTTAGGAAATAATACGCCACACGCCATACACTTGGAAGGCCAACACACACTAGTACTGCGCATTACCTTACGCAGCATGAGCAGCGACGTTATGGTGCAATTAACAAGACGACAACGTGCCCACCGACAAGTGAGGGCCACCTTCCCAGCGTACTGCCTGACTGTCCCACGCGCAAGTACTGGCCACCGAGCTAGCCCCGCTCTGCCGTCAGTCCGCCCCTGCCAGTGTGCTGCTGCGGCGGCTCACCTCCGGCGCCGAATGTCATGTCAAGCACGCTCTGGCCGGGCCGCAACGCCAGCAGAGCGCGCACCTCGTCCGCCAGCACAGGCACGTGCAGAGGCGGCGCCGGAGGGGAAGCCGCTACGGAGCTGCATCTCCGGCCGAGGGCCGAGCGGCGCACCGCCCGCCAGACTGACCGGCGGCACCACATGACCAGGGCAGGCTTCGGCGCCGGCCAGCGGCTGGGGGATGCCCGCGGCAGAAGCGCCGGCGCGGTGTGCGACGCGACGGCTCGCTGGTGTTCGTCCGGGACTCCGCGCAGTGAGCTGCCTGCACCTGCAAGGAACGCGTCTTGAGTTCGCGGGCTCGGAGGGGAGAAGGTGGGATTCAGTTTCGCTGTGGCATGCTTGTCCCGCGCGTGAAACGTGCGCGTGGAATGCTACAAGCACGGACAGTTCAGTGTTGTGCAAGGACTCCTGTGAGCTTGACGGGGCAACTTGCATTGGACATCGCGTAACATTTAACGAGACGACGAAAAGCATGAATACAGAAGTTATTGTTGGGAATGTTCATTTGCGACTTAAACTGCTCTGCCTGTTCCGTAAAAGGCAGCTCCACATTAATCCCTTGGAATCTCACCTTTAACGATTATGAACCCACCAGGAATGTTTTACCGAGTTAGTCGCCGATCCCTGGCTTTAGCCACCATCTAGCGGACAGCTGAGAAACTACAGTTGTATCTCCAGCGACGCTTGAAAGGGTCCGTCCCGACAGCGAAACCAGAACGCCGCATTCTGTACTTGTGTGTGTAACGCGGGAGTTATTTTAAGCTATGTCGTGCTGAAATATATATTTTCACATAAAAGGAAGCATCACTATAAATACGCGTGTTAATGCGTATAACGTTAATGATATTTATGTAACAATCTTCTTTGATGAGCTTGCAAGTACGGGAGAAAACGTGAGGCAGCGGGGTTTGGTGTCAAATTGCGAGTTTTGCGTACCAACATCCTCGTGCTGGTGGTGCAAGGATGCGTCAGAAACACATAACCCATATATATGACTCCCTCCGAAAAGAAATGAATAAGGGAGCAATAACTACAATATCCATATTATCGCGAGAAGTTTCAGCTGAAAAAGCTCCCCAACAAAGGAAGGACAAGTGAATCGCTTTAGATAATGGCGGTGTTAGGGGTAAACCGAAGCAATTTTATGTGCCAAAGCATGCATCCATTCTAAAGAGGCAATTTTCGTCCCATTCTTTACGTCGTTATAAATATATGCCACAGAATATGAAAAACAAGACAACGCACGTGACCACTAACGCTCCACGCAAGGCAAGACAACAGCCAGGCAAATATAGCAGCCGACGGTGAAAATCACCCGCGACGGGTCATTCAATCGACATAAATCCCCGAACAGCGGACGTCGGGCTCAGGAAGGCGGGGCGGACGCCCCATGTGCCAGAGCGGCAAACAGCTCATCCGACGTCGGTAAGGTGCGATTCATCTGCCAGCGGCCACCTGGTGTTGTGACCCTCCTGAGATGAAATGGCTGCTTTAGTGGGAGACCCGCACGGCGACCCGGAGAAATGACCAGACGCAGCTGCCACTGGAACTGACGAGACCCGCATCGAAGCGTCAAACGAGAGACGAAGGCAGGCACTGGTGAACGTGCAAGAGCTGGGCATATAAACAGTGAAAAGCACAACCAGACAGGGCGACACCACTAAACCCAGAGGACGCCGTTTGCTCCTCTATAAGCAGTCCATTTTCATGCAGTTGTTGATTGAAATTTTATGGAGCCGACTGCGGGGGTCAAATTAACGCCCAATTTTTACGTCGGTTATAGGTGCATTCTACATTGTGTTTTACTCGTAAAGATCGTCAATCGTACCATTCTAGTTATCTCGCCTTTGTCGGCGAGCCGTGCTCAGCTGGGTAAGCTTCCAGACCTGCGAGCGTGAAATATCTCCATACGCGAACATTAGATCAGTTGACCAACGTATCAGCTGGCCAAAGCGTCACACAGCACTTTTCCATAAGAGTTCCTAGTATATCGCCAATGCTACCTCTTTCGCACACTTTTGCAAAGGAAAGTCATCAAACGGAAGATGGGACCTTCCAGAAGTTCGCAATCCGTCAGGGTTGCAGCTAAAAACAAAAATTCGGTGGCCAAACAGCTGACATATTTGGCAGTGGCCAGCCAGTTACAAAAAAAAAAAAAACAGCTAAGTAATACGCGACCGGCTGGCCACCGTCGCCAGTGAACAGTTTGTACCGGAAAGCACGCCATATTGCGATTTAAATGACTGAAACCCACGCCAGTTCGCTTCCGAGGCGTACAAAAATGGGTTCAACCCGCGGCCCCAAAACGTCCGCCCGACTGTACGGGCAGGACCGCGGGTGGCTGTCTCTCCGTGTCGGCTGGCCCGCAGCTGAACCCACTCTAACGCGATGCGCTGTTTTAACGGTGCATGACTGGAAGCTTTAATCGCCTTTTCAGAGCTTGACTCAATGCCAGAAATGCAGCAAACGTTCAGGGTGGTAGCGAGCGCGGCGGAGGGCCAAACATCGTGCTCGAATCGACAGCGGACGGGAACCAGGGGCGGACCAGTAGCAGCATTAGTTAGGCTATCAAGCTGTCTCGCATTCACTCGGCACTTGAACACACGTTGCACACAATGGCCGTTATATATGATGCATTCATATAATTTGTGGGCTGTGCGCCGCAGAAGGCAAAATCCACTGATTGATCACACGCCATAATGGTCGGCAGGAATACTCATTGGCTTGTTATTGTACTTATTTGTGGGAGGCCCGTCGTGTTCGACTCATGGCCTGGATGTGACGCGTTGGACACGAGTTGGACCATCGCCAACTCAGGCTCAGTCTCTGGAACGACAGCCACACCTGCTCAGCACTTTCCACCACAAAACAAACGCATCAGACCGGAGTGTGAATGATTCGGACGTTATGTATTTCAAAACGTGAGATGCACCAGGTATGATGTTCAGCATGTCAAACTGAGCGACACGGGAATACGCGGAAAGGAAACATCGTTACGCATTTCAATCTGGGCTACTCTAGCACGGCCCCGACACACCTGACAGACACCTCCGCACACTCGGGCGTGACGATACCCCCCCCCCCCCCCCCATCCCGTCCCGCTCCCCGCTAACGACGGATACAATCATCCTATCAAAGAACAGGAGAACCGCGCAGTCACGCCCACGAGCGCGCCACGCTCGCCGAGAGCGCAGGACAGTCATGCCCACGAGCACATCACGCTCGCTGAGAGCGCGGGACACGGATCGGCGCGGCTGCGGACGCACCTCCCGGGCGGCGGCGGTGGTGTGCGCGCCTCCGCCCGCGGCTAGTTCTGCATGGGCGGCCCGCCCATCATCATCGGCGGCCGCCCGCCCATGATCATCATGGGGCCGCCCATGGGGCCCATGGGCGGCCGCATGCCGTGGCCCATCATGTGCGGCCCACCCATCGGCATGCCGGGGCCCATCATGGGCGGGCCCATGTAGGGGCCCATGAGAGGGCCGCGCGGGCCCAGCGAGGGCTGGCCGGGCCCCAGCGGCGGCCGGCTCGGCGCGCCCTGCATGCTCGCCGGCGGCGGGATGGCCGCGCCGGCCGCCTCCCGACCGCCGCTCTTGCCCGTGGCGAACGGGTTGTTGGTGATCTTGCCGGCCTTGAAGGCGGCCGTGGTGGCGTCGATCAGCGACTGCGCCTGCTCCTCCATCCACTTCTGGTAGTAGATCTTGACATTCTCCTTGTGCTTGCGGCCCGAGCAGTGGGTCTTGCGTACCGACGGCGAGTCGTGCGTCAGGTAGGTGTCGCAGTAGTCGCAGAAGTACTTCGGCATGGCGGCGGTGGTGGCGGCGTCGGCGGCGGCGCACGGGTCACGACCTGCTGCCCCCTGAAACAGCGCGCAGTGACACACCTGCGGGACGCTGCACGACGGGATCAGCGCGCAATGCAGAGGTCAACACGGGCGGCGCACGCGGTGCAACTTCTGACTGGCTTTGGCAGCATACATACACTATGCCGAGAGATAGTTTGTATTGTTTACGAAACGATATCACTTCTCGGAAGTAATTATTACAGTACACATAAGCATTCGTGTAACAAAGCCCTTCATTCGGATCAAAAAGCGAGTTTCTCAATTTTGGGGGCAATATTTTGATTTCTGGCTCTGATCGGCTAATTTTGGATTTGTCAAGGCTGTCTCGGACTTTTCTCCACTGGATCTATTGGGACTGCTCCACTAAATTCCTAATCCTCCCTTGGCCCAGTCCGGCCAGCCCCGGCCCTAGCCCCGGCCCCGGCCCTGGCCCCGGCCCCGGCCCCGGCCCCGGCCCCGGCCACGGCCCCGGCCCCGGCCCCGGCCCCGGCCCCGGCCCCTGCCCCGGCCCACGCCCCAGCCCCGCCAGCCAGTGCAAACGGCCGTGTCTATACTTCAGATTTTAGCATTTCATAAGCGGAAAACTATATGGCGTGTGGGCCCGTGAACTCATATAATAATCCAGCTAGCCGCGACATATCATCAGCATGCAGTCCAGAAACAGGTTTATCCCCTTCCCGTTACCATAATCTTTATATTTTCCTTCGCTAGATTCATTGGAATGGTTGGTGACAATTCCTTCATGATCGGGAATCTTAGCATTAGCAATCAAGTGATTCTGCTAAAGGTAAGTCGGGCAATCAGTGCGACAGGAAATCGACAAATAAGCCTCTAGACAAGGCTCATTCAGCATTAGTCTGCTGTGTAGGAACCGTTGTCCCCGCCGCACCAGGCCGCCGCTCGTTACGGCATTTGTCATCCACTTGGACGGGGCGAAGTCAATTTAGAATATTACGCACCCACCTTTGGCCCACAACAGCAAGTCAATGCATGATTATTGGTACATGTTGCACGAGACACCTTTTGATACCATGTTGTGGGGTTCAAGGTAGAGCTGCAGAGAGAGCGAGAGCGAGAGCGAGAGCGAGAGCGAGAGCGAGAGCGAGAGCGAGAGCGAGAGCGAGAGCGAGAGCGAGAGCGAGAGCGAGAGCGAGAGCGAGAGCGAGAGCGAGAGCGAGAGCGAGAGCGAGAGCGAGAGCGAGAGCGAGAGCGAGAGAGAGAGAGAGAGAGAAGAGAGAGAGAGAGAGAGAGAGAGAGAGAGGAGAGAAGAGAGAGAGGAGAGAAGAGAGAGAGAGAGAGAAAGGAGAGAGAGAGAGAGAGAGAGAGAGAGAGAGAGGAGAAGAGAGAGAGAGATAGAGAGAGAGAGAGAGAGAAGAGGAGAGAGAGAGAGAGGAGAGAGAGAGAGGAGGAGAGAGAGAAAGAGAGATGAGAGAGAGAGAGAGGGGGAAAGAGACAAGGAGGAGAGAGAGGAGTGGGAAGAGAACAAAGAGAGAGAGAGTGGGAAGAACAAGGAGAGAGAGAGTGGGAGAGAGACAAGGAGAGAGAGAGAGTGGGAGAGAGACAAAGGAGAGAGAGAGAGTGGGAGAGACAAGGGGAGAGAGAGAGAGTGGGAGAGACAAGGGAGAGAGAGAGAGTGGGAGAGAGACAAGGAGAGAGAGTGGGAGAGAGACAAGGAGAGAGAGAGGGAGACAGAGGGAGACAAGGAGAGACAAGGAGAGACAGAGAGACAAGGAGAAACAAGGGGAGACAGAGAGAGACTGAGGGAGACTGAGGGAGACTGAGGGAGACTGAGAGAGACGGAGACAGAGACAGAAAGTGACAACACAAAACAATGTTCATAAAAACATTTGTGAATTTCGGGCTGCATGCCATGGCCATTTCTTGCTAAAAGCGAACCGAAAACTCTAAACGTACGCCCTTTCTTCATCCCAATAACCAGTACTATCCCTAATTCCCCAAACCACTGGCACGTTACCAGTGCACGTTGATTACTACACAGCTACAACAAACAAACACACTTTCCAGTTCATATTTGAAAAGAACATTTCTAGCCATGAAAGTCATTTAGAAATTAGACTCATGTCAGGAGCTTTGCGGCACACAAAATTCAAATAAGAGGTTCTGACCTGCATTCCCATGGAATCTTCCTATCGCAGCACAGTCACCAAGCAACAACGATAAAAGAGCAGCACGTGTATAATTTGCCACAACGTACCGGGAAACGACACAAGCTATTCCGTAAATAAGGAGCTCATACAAATACACTACACAATTCAAGCCATTGGGAACCATAAATGTAGAATCTCCCGCATCCGCGATTATAATCCTCTGCTGCTTGAGTCAATTTGCTTGTGGAACAGATGAATCACAAAAGGATATGCTCTGTCATGCATTAAAACAACACAGAACCAGTGCCCCTAGTCGTGAGCTATGAGTCCACTTAAAGGTGAAACGTGCAGTGCAGCCTTGTTGAACTGTTGGGCCGAAACTTATGTGGCATCAGGAATACAGATTCACAATATGAGCAGGCGTGAAGCAACGTCCCCAGATTGGAAACTACACCCGCGTAGTGATGACAAAAACAGCAAATGCTCAAACGGGGTGTCATGTTGCTGAAAACATCCTAACATTGTACCCCCACCCACCAGAAGAATAAACTATGTTAGTGTCACTTCACCAGTAAAACACGTGTTTCGTAGACACCACATGCTGCCATCTATCAACTCCAGGTTTCCTCTGAGTTCTGAGCCTGAACACCCTGACTAACTTCGTTCCCAAAACGCAGCTGAGCGCCCACCCAGCTCTCTGCAAGCCCAGACTGAGACAAATGGGTGGTGCCTTTTAACAAATGTTGCACCACAAACACCACAAAATTAACAGGAGTGCAGCAACAGACCACCTGACTCACATCAGAAATATGGCATCTTACATATGAGAGAAATCTCTGAGCGATGCAATGCTAGCTGTAGTGGCACATCCAAATAACTCCATAAGTGGAGTGTATTCATCTTGACAACTTTATATGTGGGCCTGCCAGCCAGACTGGGAGCAGTCACTCCCAACATCTGCCTGCTGCCCCAGCCAATCCAGCCAGATTGGGAGCAGTCACTCCCAACATCTGCCTGCTGCCCTAACCAATGGCCACATTCAGATGGTTACTTGCTGAGCCTGCTCAGGAACCAAACAAAACTGACTGGGGGCCAGCGCAGCAACTGACTGAGCCACACCGGCAAAAGCAGCCTCCTTGCCACCCATCAATGCCTTAAACAATCAGTTGGACAGGTGATGGCTGTTTATTATCAATGTTCCAACACACAAGACACCTACTAAGGCAATGTGCAAGGCAGGGCAAGGCTAAGCATGGCTTGACAAGGCATGTCTAACCAAGACTCAGACCCTTCCTAGATGCCATTAACATAGATATTGGTTTAGGTGTGATATGTGAATCATGGGTTTGGGTATATATGGATAAGATAAGTGGATCTGGTTAACCCAAAATATACAACATAAACATCATTTTTATTGAACCAAGAATACATGAAGGCTGAGAAGGTGACAAGCTTGTGAGCAGCTCTTTACTCATGATCAGCATAGTCAGCATTAATGGCCACCATTGGCTGGTAATGCTGAAGAACCACAGCAACCAAACTTGCTGCATGCATGGTTGACAGGCCTTGGCACCAATGCTCAGATGATGGTTACACACCTGGCTTAAGGACCTTCTAAAAGAGGGTATCTACACAGCAAACTCACACACCCTGTAACAATCCTGTTGACTGGCACAGAAGCGGCCAGGCTGCCAAAATGTCTGTCTGTGACCCCCAGAGTACCATCGGTGCTTCAACTTCACTATCTGCACTACAGTATGTCACCAGAGTACCCATCTATGAGGATGTTGCCAGCACACATGCAAATACTTTCCATTTTCCCAGTTGGCTGGTGGATTTGCAATCAACATTGGGACAATAAACTATGCATTAGTACATTGTCTATTTCAAGCTCTACCCATTTCTGGGGAAAAAGTAAAAGTGAGGGCCAGGCTCTTTGTATGCACCTAACTTAATACACCATTTGATATTCTTGTCATATGCTAAGGATAGGAAATGTGCAGTCACTATGGTGGGAGTCAGGGAGGCAGCCACAGGGGGAGGGGGGACACTTATGCCTGTAGCTTTTACTTGAGCAGCATGGACAGCCCACTAGGTCATGTCACATTGAGTGCTCTCTAAGCTCCCCTCTCTCTCCAGCACTGCTGGGCCAGCAGACTGTAAATTTTCAGTGTGTAGATGTTCAAGCTTAGACATCATGTCAGTAGAAGTCCCCCCTAAGTAGCAGTCATCTCTTTCATCCCCCAACAATTGGTGAATTTGCATTTAGCATTATGTGTAAAATGGCATACAAGGCTGCCAAACTGCAGGCAATTTTCTGAAAACATGGATCCCATGGCTCAGATCCAAACCTGATGCCTTGATGTCTACATGCCTGCAATCATTGTGCCTGGGCTAGGCAAGGCATCTGCCACCACTGCCAATGAATTGGTCTGCATGCTTTGCTGAAGAACTTGGCTAGCAGTATGCTATGTCCGTAACTTGTGGTGCTTGGTCTTTAGACAAAAACAAAACAGATAGGCTAACTACAGATAATGGAGTTACATATTTTGTGCTGCTAAGATAATCAAATCAGTTCAGCAGAAATCAGCACATAGTTATTTAAGCCTTGTGACTAATCTCAACACAACACATTAATTATGAGATACACATAAACATCAGGAGCAATCTCCCAATAGAGCTGTCTTCCAAAGCAGTCCAGTCCTTGCATGATGACTGCCTCATCACATAACCTTGTCAGTTGAAGGACTTGAGTGTCAGGTGTGGGTGGCAATTCAGGTGAATTTTGGTGGATTTTCAGATATTCATATTTACTATACCCAGGACTGTTGAGCATATAAGTCTGGTGTGTGCATCTGTCCAAAAATATTAGGGGGTGCATAAGCCTGATGCAGAGCCACACTCCATTCAAAATTGTGTATAAACATAGTGTGTTGCCACTTTCCATGCTGGAGTGTGCATATGCACAACCAACAGTATACTCTGTGTTACCTTTAGTTACTTTGTTACTTACCTTAGAGCCCAATACCACTGTCCCCCTCTTACGACAAGCACAACTCTTATAATATCAAGCACCTCAAAAGCTTGCTGCCATCTCTTCCTTCTCATACTCTCATACATGTGTTCTCTCATGTCACCTCCAGATTTACTTTGAACCTCTAGCCAAACAAAAGGCCAAAAGTATCTTAACTTTTGAAAATGCTGCTGCACAAAATATCATCCACTGTCCTGGTCACCTACACAAGTGTGCTGAGCATCACACTAGTGCTCATCACTTAAGCCAGGTTAAATTGTGTTAAGTTTTAAATCATTTTTGTGAAAATATTTTCAGAACTGTGCCTCAAGTTACCTTAGCATCATATTGCCCTAAACCACTGACTGATTTTAAGCCAAAATTAGGGGTGACCATGGGCCAAGCTCTAAGCACTTATATATGGTGTACATGCACCCAAAATCTTGTTGGGATGTTGTCACTATGTCAGACATATTAGGCATCATGTGCATTGTTTGCAGTCTGGTCTTGGTGGGAGGGAATGCAAATCACCCAGCATAACCAGCCTGCAATCAGCGGGAGGGGGTTCAAAGTCTCCCAGAATGCGGTAACAGTTAAAATCAGACGCTTTGCGCACGTACATGGAGTTACGTGCTTATACAGCCAAATATCGGTCCGAAAGGCGGCGTTCCCCCTCAGCACGCATCTCGTCTCCTTTTTTCCGTTTTCAACGGCACATCATCTTCCCCTCCCTTGCCATGTACTTACTCGGAATAAGTATATGACGGGATTTAAGAAAATATCTTCTACGGCGCAATTCACCGAACCGTGGTCCTCTCACACACGCCCGGCACCCGACCACCCGAGGCCTTAGAACGGAACAATCGTCACCGACGCGAATCTGCGGTATCTGTTCCAAGGCTATCTGTTCCCAACACCCACCGGTTTCGCCGCAACGACAACGTTGATGCTCGCTGCTACCAGATTATCGCTCGCCAAATATCCTGAAACTACCAAAAGCACTAGGAATGTCTGGGAAAATTGCCAAGGACTTAGGATATAGCCTGGTATTTCTCAAGATACTTGAGAGATTCTGAGAGCGCGTTTCCGTTTTTCTACGGGCGTTAATTCTGTGTTTCCACTTGCGCACGTGGGGAGAGGGCATCTGTGCCCGCTACTCCCTGCGCCCTGCGAGGTATGATGGGGGAGGCATGTGGTTGGGCACATGGGCGTGTAAATCTGGCATGCAATGCTTTGGGCACGGGTTTTTTATTACTCTCTGAGGGTTTGAGTTTGCAATGTCGCAGGACGAGACCGACGAAACAACCTCCAGTTGGCTGTCTATTGAAGGTCGACTCACGTCATCTGTGTATGGTTGATGTCGATAATTATAGAACGAACTCAGAAGCATGCATGGTTGTGATCATGCTCAGTTTTAGTTTTTTAGCTCCAATGCGTCATTGCATATTCCGAGAGCTGCTTGGTTTGTGAGTCCTCATTCAACAGAGACTATTCATAATTGACGAAAGTGTATATAAAGTTGGCATGTATGTGTAGTATATAACATGCATATAAAGTTAACTAATTGGCTGTTCAAAGCAGGCCAGTTATTTGCCTGCTGTGTTGAATGGCTCATGTGTTTGATTTAAGCACTCTTGGAATCAGACTGAAAATCAGTGTTATGTTGAAGGTAGAATATCATGCATTGTAGGATGGTGCCGGGATTTAGTTGCCTGGGTGTCTGTGTGTTTTTATGTGTTGTACAGCAGTCTCATTAGGCTTTATCACAGTGATCAGTTGTGGTCCAAGTGACTCATCATTTGTCATGTGATTACAGAATAGTTTCAAGCTGGTATTCATAGTGTCTTCAAAACATTCGCAAGCTATGGCTGTAAAGGAAGTGAGGAAAGTCAAAAAGCCAAAAAAGGTAAAACTGAAACAAAAACTGTCTGCTAGTGACATCAAACCCCCCAAGAAACCCAAAGTAGTGAGTCTTCTGGAGGGTGGTAAAAATGCAAAGTCCACCTGATTCTAAAGCTGGCAGGAAGCAGAAGGAGCATGTTTTGGGTGGTGATGACATCATCAGTCAGGGAGACCAGCCAAGTGAGGCTGGCTGTGAAGCAACGGAGCCATCACCTGCTCCAGAAGCAGGAAAGCAGCGGCAGTCAAAGAAAGGCGAAAACCCAGTAAAGCCGAAGAATTTAGTCCACGAAAGACGCACTGTGTTCGTCGGCAACCTGCCGTTGGGGGTGCGCCGCGCCGAGGTGCGGAAATTCTTCATGCAGTACGCGCCGGTGGAGTCTCTGCGCTTGCGGAGCGCTCCCCGGTTGGACAGCAAGAAGCCTATCCGCATGTCGGTCATCACGAAACGCTTCAGTACCGAGCGGTCCTCGTTTAACGCGTACGTGCGCTTCGTCAGCGAGGAGGACGCGGCGCGCGCGGCGGCCGCGGCCAACGGCGTGCTCTTCAAGGAGCACCGGCTGCGCGTGAACGCCTCCATGTCGAGCGAACGGCCCGACCCGCGCCGCGCCGTCTTCGTCGGCGGCCTCCCTTTAAACGTGGAGGACGACCACCTGTGGGCCCACTTCGGCGAGTGCGGCGACATCGTCAGCGTACGCGTCATCCGCGACTCACTCTCGTCGGTCGGCAAGGGCTTCGGCTACGTCAACTTCGGCGACGAGCAGGCGGCGCACCGTGCGCTCAAGCTGAATGGTAGCGAGATGGGCGGGCGCCACATTCGCGTGCAGAAGTGTCATGCCACGGCCAAGCCCAAGGTAGACCGCACCACCGGCAAGAAGCTGCGGAGGGAGAAGGGCGCGGAGGGCGAGGGCGAGGGCCCGCGGCCGCTGCGGCCGCCCGACAAACTGGCGCCCGTCAGCAGCTTCTCCGGCGACGCCACCGCCGAGTCCAAGTCGTCGCTGAAGAAGAAGAAGAAGAAAAAGGAGCGCTGGGACGACGCGAAGCGCCAGAAACGGAACTTGGCGCAGAGCCTCAGCAAGACGATCGCGCCGGCGGCTGGGGCGAGGAGCAGCATGGCGGCTCCGACTACCGCACCGGCTGTCAAGGTCGGGGGCGTGCTCCCACAGAGTAAGAAGATCAAGTTTGACTTTGACAATGAGACAGACACGGCTAGTGATAAGAAAAAGGACGCCGAAAAGATGAAGGCGATCAAATTAAAGAAGGAGGCGAAGCGGAAAAAGAAAAGTAAGGAAAGCCTGGCCAAGAAAAAGAGGAGTGTTGTTGAACCGCTAACTAATATTTTGCCATCATAAGCAACAACACCATCTTGTTTAAGTTTGCGGTACCCAAGAGAAGTGCATGCATACATCTGCCCGATAAGTTCAATAAAGATGAATTTCATCTTCATATCTAGTTGTATGAATGCCAGAATTTGAGTGCCCAGTTGGCGTCAAAGGCCGTACTTTGTGCTTTTCAGCAACGACTGGTGCAGGCACTTTGTACGTGTTCACGTTAGTGTCTGATGCCAGTCACCAAAGCATATGGAGCAGGCGGCACTCGTCAACGCACAGACGATATTTAACCTGCTATAGAGACGAAGAGGGTGAAATTTAGGTAAGTTACGTTTGAAAAGCATGTCCGCGCATTACGCTCTCGCCGTCATTCTTGACACTTAGCCATTCTTCTAAAAACCACCGACGTCGGTACCGCTAGGAGCGAAATGTTGATGCAAGGCACCGGATTTTTGGTGCTGGCAGTGGACCTATTGGTGACTGGCTCCATGCGCAGATTACATAGGCTGCGCAACAGATGACCAGCGCGCGATGTGGGATATGGCCCATTGCAGGTGGTGCGTGGAGCGTGCCACCGTCCGACGGGAACATTCCCTTACAAAGCGGTCAGGCGAAGGCGCGGACACGTGGATTGCTGGGTATGGCTGTGGTCGCGAGCCATGCCAGTTGGAAGAGAACCGACGCCGTCCCAATTAGATCATCGCTCGCTTGAATGATCGATGTGACACCGACGCGCACGTGTTTGGAGGCATGGCGGTTGATGGTAAACGCAAATTCCCTTTGCGTGGCTGTGAGCGATTCGCTGGCTCGCGCTGTTGGCCAGTGCCCGACGTCCCTGTCACGCTGCACATTCACCACATTGGCAGTGGCTTTTAAAGAAATTACGTTGTACCGCCGGCTTCAGAGATCCGATTTACAACGCATATCGGAAGTTCATCTCGCGGTACAGCGCGCACCGTGCTTGCAAAGCATCGGGACAGTCGGAAGTTGATGTCCAATTCAGAACATGGCGCTGGGTTTTCGCAGAGGCGGTGCCGTCTGTGCCATGAGTCTTTCCAGATGGCGGCATGGCGCTGGGTATTCGCAGAGGCGGTACCGTCTGTGCCATGAGTCTTCCCAGATGGCGGCATGGCGCTGGGTACTCGCAGAGGCGATGCCGTCTGTGCCATGAGTCTTCCCAGATGGCGGCATGGCGCTGGGTACTCGCAGAGGCGGTACTGTCTGTGCCATGAGTCTTCCCAGATGGCGGCATGGCGCTGGGTACTCGCAGAGGCGATGCCGTCTGTGCCATGAGTCTTCCCAGATGGCGGCATGGCGCTGGGTATTCGCAGAGGCGGTACCGTCTGTGCCATGAGTCTTCCCAGATGGCGGCATGGCGCTGGGTATTCGCAGAGGCGGTACTGTCTGTGCCATGAGTCTTCCCAGATGGCGGCATGGCGCTGGGTACTCGCAGAGGCGATGCCGTCTGTGCCATGAGTCTTCCCAGATGGCGGCATGGCGCTGGGTACTCGCAGAGGCGATGCCGTCTGTGCCATGAGTCTTCCCAAATGGCGGCATGGCGCTGCCCTCAATCTTGACGGGGGTCTCGTATATGCTCTGATAAAATATGTCCAATATTTACCGGTGGGGCGCGTTTATTCGCACCAGCGTTGTTAACTTGTGACGTACTTGACAGCTGAACTCTTTGTTGGTGCCCACAGAACTAAGCGCTGCATGAAGCAAGTTCCAACCCGCGAGAGCCGTTGTTTGGTGGTTCGGAAGCAGTCGCGCACGACGTCGCGATGTTTCATTTCTTCCCATTGTTGGCATGATCGAGGCTCGAATCAGGGGCATGGTTTCCTATTCAGTTGGAAGGCTCCAGCACACACGCCCCCCCCCCCCCCCCCCAACAAACACACACTGGGCCCCAGCCCCCAACTTTGAGAAGAAAGTGGGCCAAATACAAGTGAGTGTGTCCAGTGCGGTTTGAGGAAGGTGGCTGGTGAACTAGGTGAATCGGCGCGCACGTTTAAAGTAGTTCACAAGCAGGCTAAACGCAAACTAAATAAGTGGAGGCCAGTTAACGTTATTGCCCCTCCCCCCGCCCTGCCCGCTCCCCTGTTTCTAAGCCCATTTGTCTTGTGGTCGCCTTGCGTTAGGTTGACTGTACTGGTATTCGTGTATCGATTTGTAAAAGCGGATGGTGTCCGCGACAAAACCTGGCACACGGACGCAACGACCTCAGCGAGTCGTCATGACAGCCTTCCTACTGTATTTTCTGCGGATGGTAGATTATACGCGCATAGCTGGTCCATGCGGTATGAGTAGACGCATGCCTTGTTCCGGGGCTGCACGATGTGCCCAATGCACAATGGCGAGGGTGCCAATTACCAGAGATTGATTGGCCCCTGTCGAGGCGCGGCCGCGGCGCCCAGCTGGCGAAGGTCTACCCAGTAACATTTCAGACCTCAAAACTCTTGTTCAGGAAAAGGTGGCGGCAGCCACGTTTTAACAAATACTTGTAATCGAGTTTGGAGAATCGGCCCGTTCGCGTGGCAGCACTGTCCTCGGACCTCCCGCACGTCATCCAAACGTGAGACGCAGCTACCTCCGCATTTTTGCCTGACATAACCACCGAACAGTGCTTTATTCAAAAGCGGGCGTCCACTCTCGGCGCGGAGAGCTGAGCAGCTACGTGATGCAGCTTTCCAAAAATATTCATAATCGAGCGCGGCGAGTGAGACACCGATTGTGTGGCAGTGCGCGTGCGCGTTTGGAGAGCCGGATGTACGGGGTTGAATGTTCCGCGGTGCCCGCCCTAGCAGGCAGCGGTAGACTACGCCATACAGTCTCAGCAGCTGAATGCGTTATAAAGTCCTAATCAGCGACGTTCATTTGACGCAATGGTCCAGGGCTATCGCACGGCACGGGAATATAGCGCCCTACTGCCGACACCTGCTTGCTTGATAACCCCTAACAACACGTTACTGACTGCGGGCAGGCGCACTAAGAGTGGTACATAATCTAAGGCAGCGCTTTGAAATTGTCTTTAATCGAGCGCGGTGAGTGGTGAGATGATAGCGCCTGGCTCCGATCTATCGCACCACAGCCAAGCAGCGGGCCCGGCCGCAGCCGCCGCTTTGTTCAATACGTTGCCCATGCAGGATGTTCGCTGTCAGGCGACGCCAGGTTGGACAAAGCAACCATTTCTTTACATTGTTACCAGAAAAACGCCAGCTTAAAACATACCATGTATTGTATTATTGCAATAAGTCCGGCACCCCGCTGCTATTCAAGACCAAAGCTCTCGCCCAGATAACTGCGCTCCCACCCCATGTTTTCTGCACCAGCGCGGAACGCTCCCTGACGACATAACCTCATGAGAATACAGCTGCGGCGGCCGCTCCAGTGTCATCGAAGCGCGGTGTCCTCCCTGGGCGCCCGGCCGCTCCGAGTTTGGTGGGCCGGCCGGCGCGGCCCTAGGCGTCGCCCGTAGGACGGACTCCGGCGCCACCGGGCCGACGGCCGGTCCGACGCCCTGACTACCACTGGGCGGCGGCACAGCTCGGTAGCGGCGGTTCAACCGTCCTTGTGGCGTCTGGGCAGGTGGTCTGGAGCGTGGCCGCGCGGTCTGGGCGGCGGCGGTATCAATGCCGTCTCGGGTGGTCTAGGGCGGCGGCGGAGTCACCACCGTCTCAGGTGGTCTGGGGTGGCGGCGGAATCACCACCGTCCTCGGTGGTCTGGAGCGGCGGCGGTATCACTACATTCTTGGGTGGTCTGGGGCGGCAGCGGGATCACTACCATCTCAGGTGGCCTGGGGCGGTGGCAGGATCGCCGCCGTCTAGGATGGTCTAGGGCGGCGGCGGTATCACCTGCCGTCTCGCGTGGTCTGTGGCGGCGGCGGGACCTCCGTCTCGGGTAGCTCGTTCTACATAACTGGCACAAGAGGAGTGTGTTGCCTGAACACATCAGAAGAGATACGAAAAAAGCCGTATAATAAAAACAACGAAAAGATCTTCCCGAAATGTGCAATACCAGAATGTCTCACGACGCAAAACAATATGCACCGCTTACCATCATCTGGAAATAAAGAAGTAGGTAATTAGTTGCAAAAAAACATCAGTAAAGCAAAAACAGCATCTTATCACGTAATGCAGCGCGGCTGAGGGTCCGACGGGAGCAACCGAACTATATTACATTTTCATCAGATCACACCAACTCTCGCCGGACGAAGGTTTCCCACCTGACCACACGGGGGTATCTCAGCGGCAGCCAGCTATCTGGGTAATTTAACACGCTACAGCCAAACAGAAAGCGCTGATGGGTACCGAGTGTACAACTGCGCCAGAGCGCTGACGGGTACCGAGTGTACAACTGCGCCAGAGCGCTGATGGTTACCTAGTGTACAACTGCACCTGAGCGCTGATAAGTACCTAGCGTAAAGTGTACCAGAGCGCTGATGGGTACCTCGTGTACAACTTCAACGGAGCGCTGATGGGTGCGTGGTGTACAACTGCACCGGGTGAATGCTACTGGAGATGGGAAAAAATGCAACAAATGTTGCGCACTGATCGTGAACGAAAATAACGGGTAAAATCAAGAAATGCTAGAGAAAAGGGGATATGGTATTGCCCAGGACTGCACGTGATAACACTAATCGCAGCCCAGCCGCGAATGCGATCTGTGCCCAGTTAACTTAGGCCGTCCTGTTGAAAACTGTCGGGCAACAGTATACCAGAAGGCAATCGGCTTGCCGACGTTATAGAGCAAACGTGGTTATGTCGTGACTGTTCGACATTTCAAGCGGCGCTCTGATCACGAGCGGGTCATGACTCCGCCCGGTTTCCTCACGAACCCGGTGTGGCACGACGCCGAAACCAACGATGCCAGAAAGCGTTTATCAAAGTGCGTCACCTTGCAGCTAATGCGGCCTGAGATGCGGCAAACCCGAGTCGAGAAATACAGAATATCATGGCCGCGGCCGCGTTTACCTTTGGAGCATTAGACTGGGCTTGGTCCTGGATGACCATGTGTATTTTATGGGATCACATCATGTGTGACGCGTTACAGCAATCAGCACGAGCCACCTATATCATGCATTCATCAACACACGTGTGTATACATTACTTGGCGTCTTAACGTCATACGTGGCCGACGTAGCCTCGCCGTCGTCACTTTTGACCTTAGATATGTAAGGTCAATACATTTTCACCAACAATATCAAACATATTGAAAACTCGGGCGCCATGCGATTGCAGTATTAGATGTTAGCCCTCGAAGGAAAAACCAGGACATTTTCATTGGATGGTTCTGGGGATCAGACTACACACATAGCAGTCCTTATTGACAGAACCCACTACAGGTACGTCAGGAGACATGCGCCTTAGCCGCCTGAGCTACGTGGACAGAAACATGCAGTTCTGAAGACTTTCTCGGAAAGCCTCCGAGTGGCCTCTGGACGCCTCGTCAAACGACGGTTGAATCAAGCCAGGTGATCTTCAAACATGCTCCACAGCAACTCGACAATCACTCATTGCGCATGCCAAAGACATTGGGTACCTCGCTACGTCCAGCGATTCAGTTATCATTGCAAACACGTGTAACTACGTCCCCAACGTAGCGATACCGGCCACGCCCCTGGCCTCTGTCCACGTCGGACTGGCCGCAGAGTCTGGGGCGACCAACGCAGCTCAACAAAATCAGAGCCCACCGGCGTCACTCACACTGCTCAAATACGGCCCGCCTCCTTCAGCTTTGCTATCAACGTGTCGACGTCGTCGACCTTGATGCCGGCCTCGCGCACCGGAGGGTCCTCCACGGAGAGCACCTCGATCCGGGGCGAGGTGTCCACGCCCAGGTCTGATGGCTTCATCTTCTTAATCGGCTTCTTCTTGGCTTTCTGAAGAATTGAGGTAACAGGTACGCCAAGTACGGATACTACTCGCAACTCCTCGGTTTTTCCAAGCATAGAGCTACAACATTATCTGGGAGAACACCATCCAATGAAAGAGCGAATGGCCGCACAAATTGATGTCCAACATGAAGAAAGATATATCTCATCAGTCAATGAAAGTCACTGAAAACGTAATAATTTGATGGCTTTTACACACAAGATCTAACAACAAGAAATTAAACCAATCAGAACATGACAAAGGAAAGCAGGCTGTGCTACTAATCTGTGGCAACTGTGTGGCCAGATCAGCGCGCCGCTTGGCTGTCTGGTGCGGTCAGCAGACCATCTGACTTTGTGCTGAGCTCAGTAGTCCGATCAGCTCTCTGGCGACATCAGCCGGCCAATCTGACTGGTCAGTGGGCTGGTCAGCCCTCTGGCAGAGTCCAGTGACCCAGCCGACCGCCTGGTGAGGTCAACTCAGGCCAGCCAGCTGCGTCGCCTGTGTCGAGAGGTGGCGTACCATGATGTTGGGCAGCGTGGCGTAGCGCGGCTCGTTCAGTCGCAGGTCGGCGGAGATGACGGCGGGCACCCGCACCTTGATGGTCTCCAGGCCGCCATCAATCTCACGAGTCACCGTTCAAGTTGCCGTTGTCCTTCTCAATCTGTGAAACGCCAGGCTGGATTGGACAAACACGTCCTCTTTGGTCGACCAGCTGCAGCAGTGTTTTGCTTCTGAGCCCGCGATAACTTTTCCTCCCATCTGTCATCCATTCCCTTTAACTGCCATATGTTCCTTTATGTTACATTTAATTGTGGACCTGTCAGCTTGGATCAAACATGGTCGAAGCCATTTTTGAAATCTTCATGTAGCTGTTCATTTTTTCGCGCGAAGTGAAGCTGATTCCAGTCAAGGCATCTCATCATTAATTTCAAAAGGTAAAACAACAACTTGCAAGGAAGCCGCAAAGTGACGCAATGGGAACGGGCGTAGGGATGACATCTCTTCACCTTGGAGGCGAACGTGGCCTGGGGCCAGTCGAGCAGCGCGGCCGTCATCTGCGCCGTCTGGTTACAGTCGTCGTCGATGGCCTGCTTCCCGACCATGACCAGGTCGAACTTCTCGTCGGCGGCCAGCTTGGCCATGATCTTGCTGACGTGGATCGGCTGCAGTTTCTCCACGTCGGCGGCCGGCAGCTCCACGTGGATGGCCGAGTCGGCCCCCATCGCCAGCGCCGTCCGCAGCGTCTCCTGTCGCGCGACAGGCCACCCGTCATCACAGGAACACAGGCATCCATTATTATCACAGGATAACAGGTGCCTGTCACCATCGCAGGATAATAAGAGCCTGTCACCATCATAGGATAGCAGATGCCATCATCATCACAGGATAACAGGTAACATCATCACAGGTAGCCAGCCAGCTGTCATTGTAACATGATAGAGAACTACACCTTTGTCAGACAGCTCTGACAAGATAGAAGAATACATCTGTAAAATCTACTGACCACACCAACAATCTTGTCAACAAACCTGTGCCTGGGTGGGCCCAATTGATAATGCCACCACCTCCTTTGCCAGCTTCTTCTCCTTCATCCTTATGGCCTCCTCCACCGCAATCTCATCAAAGGGGTTCATGGAGTGTTTCACTCCATCTGTAACCACACCCTTCTTGTCCGGGCGGACGCGCACCTTAAAAACACAAAGTTATGGTTACTGACATCTGTTCCATACAGTGCAGCAGCTAGCATGAAGCAGAGGATGTTAAATCTCTGGTTTGTCAATCACACAATATGTGTTCTGTGTTCAAGAACAGGAAATGCCTGCTATCCTTAGGGTTAATACTAAGGTAGTACACTTGGCAGATGACTATATAATGGTGGCTGCTGCCCTTGCAGGGTGGGTGCTGTTGTTTGCTTATAGCTTTACTTCACTTATCTGCAACCTATATTTGTAACTGGGGCATGGAATACACTCCTGTTATTGCCAAGACTTAAATTCAGCAAGCCATAAATAAAAACTAGGCAATACCTAGCCTGATAAGTAACAAATTTAATGGATGACCTGCAAAAAATGTACCAACTGCACATTATGTGACATTAGTGCACTGAACCTGGAGCATGTATGCAGCAAACTTAGGCCTGGACAGATTGTGCTGAACTTTTTGCCTTAAAGGTGCTTAGGATATTTTTGATTGAAGTTTTCTAACCAATGTCCTAATACCATAAAGTATTGACTATTGCTGTACAGAAATTAGTGGTGGCCATGTAACAAACTCCAGGCCTTTTTGATGATGGCCTGCTATGCTCAAATTGTTGCTGAGATGTTGGTGCCATGCTAAGCATGTTCAGGATAGTATTTGTCTGTGTATGTCTCAAATAATGCCAAATAATAACACCTTTTCTGACCTAGCACTGAACTAACATGATACATGGTGAACAGGCAACATGAGGAGAAACCAACACAGCTGATGCAAATGGGCCCATGACATCCTGTGCTACAGGTCTAGGATCAGGGAAACCATTTTACTTACATGGCAGAGTACAGCTCAGCATTTTTCATCCCTCCTGATCCATAGCCAAAATGCAAAAATACATCTCGCACTGCACATGCCATGCAAAGCAGCAAGCACAAACAATTTGAGTGCATGTGCCCAGCAACTCTGAGCACCCATGAGTTTGATGCAATTGCCACCAATTTTGGGGCAAAGAGACCCAATCTTTCAAGGAATTATGATGTTTCCAAGGTGTTTTCCAGGAAAGATACCCCTACACAAATTACATGCAAAACAGTTTGAAAATCAGCTCAGTTTTGCCAGGCATGCGATAGGCACAGAAGTACAGCATGATGTTCTGCCCACAGAAATCATGTAGGCATCCATTGCAATCCATGGCTTTTTCAGCTGACCCATGGTAAGCTTCCCATGTGATCAATTTGAGTTTCTACTGCATCCTATTCAGCTGTTGCACGCAACCCACATTTTGACCCATTTTGAAGCTGTGAAAAACTAGGAAATACTCCTAACGAATACATACCTTGACTGCATAGTCTATCACTCTCTTGACTCCAACCAATATTCTGAGGGACATGGCTATCCCTTTCTCTTTCGCTCTAATGGAATGAGCAGTGCGAAGAGGTCAGGAATCACCGATGTGAAGAAAAGAAATAATAGGTTTTGAAAGACTTGTCAAAGGTTTTCAGGTAGTAATAAAATTGAAAATATAATCCCGCGTATTCCCTTTCGAATCGAAAATTGATTACGTGGAAAATACCGCGGCCAGACCGCCACAGAAAGAGCGCAGCGCGGAATCGCGGCAAAAAGGGCGCAATGAAAACAAGGGGCAAGAAAAGGTCCAAAGATACCGTTGTAAAGTAATGCCATACTTGTGAGTTTTAGTTTTCTCTGTACGTCCGAAACTTCAGGGGTGGTATTGTGCTGGAGATGAGCTGATGATTCAGTTATCTAGACACCACTGTCAGGAGCAAAGTTCTGCAAAACAAACTGACGAAGAGGATAAGCCCTGAAACATGACGCATTCTAACCCAAAATATTCCAACGAACTGGTTTCTCCCCGGATTTGGCCCACTTCTCAAGGATGGCGGAGAACTCGGAGGCGGAAGATGGCGGAGTGATTTACAATGGTTGGGGCCCCTGCATCTGTCAAGTGCCCACAGTGCCTAACAGAGGGTCCTGTGGTCGTAAGGGGTCTTAGCCGACCATGATAAGTGTTTCATGAGGCCCGAAGAGGGCTCGGGTGGCACACCGAAACCCACGATTAAAGACCTGGTTGGATGACATAAGGACCCCAAAGGACTGGCTGCATGTCACATAAAAAATCGTGGCCTGTAGGGCCGTGACCTGGAACATCAGTCAGAGGTTCTCTTGCGCTGTTTGAGGACCCCTGAGGCAATGCGTGTGTGTAAGTCGGCCAGAGACCACGAGTACCGAACAGGTGGGTCCCTTGATAGTCTGAACCCTGGGGGCCCATTTCCCGAGCAGGAGCAAGGCTGTGGCCCGCGGTTCAATGAAAGGTGCTTTTGTCGGTCAGGGGTCACAGTGCCTAACAGGAGTCAGTGCCCAGGGTTGGGCAGGATCGGTATTTGAGGGAGCCCGAAGAGGGGCCGAAGGATCTCTCGAGACCAAGATCGAGGGGCCCGATTGTAAGGCTGAAAGGCCCAAAGGGCCGTCTGTATGTCGCATTAAGCCCGTAGAGTTGTGATTTCAAATGTCAGTTACAGGGCTTCTTGCACCGAATGGGGGCCTCTGAGACAGAGCGTTCCTCTATCTCGGCCAGAGATCATCCAACACCGAACAATCGGCTCCATGTTCCGGGCCCTGGGAGTCCATTTCCCAAACAGGGACAAGGCCAGGCCAGTGACTTAAATTGGTCGGGGCAGCAGCAACAATTCTGGGCTCCTGCGTTGTTCAGTAACCCACAGTGCCGAACAGGGCAACCTGTGTCGACGAGGGGCATCGAGTCGATCAGGGGAAGATTTGCTCGACAGGGACGAGGACGGGACCCCGAATGGCAGAGGCCTCTTGCGCTGATCGGGGCACCTTTGACAGTGAAAGGAAATATCATAACATGAGATGAGTGTTTACATTGAGACAATGGAAGGGTCCTGACCCAGTCAGGGTCCCCAGCGCCGAGCGGCGGGTCCTCAAACCCAATTCCACCAGCGGCCCGTTAAGCCGAACAGGGAGTCTACGTGCCAATTATTGAACCACTTGTGGCGATCAGGTATGTCGTTGCGTTAATGAGGGTTCCTGTGTCGATCCGAGGCCAACTGCGCAGGTCAGAAGGCCTTGCGCTTCAGGAAGGGACCGATATGATGTGATGCATCACTCTAAGGACCTCCGGATCGACTAGGGGATCCGCCCCGTCTTGCCAGAATGGCAGCCGGAGGACACCTTGCGGAGGAACGGAATGGTCCTTTACCTCCAGACCGGGAACAATAATGTGCCCCTAGTGTTCTTCTGAACAGACCCCTTGCCCGGAAATAAGGGGCCTCATCAGTGTAGAAAGGGCGGGTCGAAATAAGTTTAAAAACGAACAAGACCATCTCAAGTTTGCCTGAGAGCATTCATATTTTTTGCAGAATCAATCAGTAAAACAAATTACAGCAAAAAGTTTGGGCCTACGCGCCCGCAGTTTTGGAAGCAAGGATAGCGATGGCCTGGGTTTCAGTTTTCGTAAAACCGAACAGCGTTGGCTGCTGCAAACAACACCACACGGCGGGAGCCGTGCGTGCGAGAACGACCGTCGTAAAATTATGGTTTCAAATGTGTTTCAAAAATAATTCGCATCTTCCAAAGACGGAACTGGGTGTGTCTTCTCGATAACTTTGAGACTGTCCTCGAGACATATTAGCAGTTACAGCAACACGAAAATTATATATTCTACCCTTACAACCCTTCTAGTTTCACCACCAGATTCCAGACCCTCTTCACTGGTGCTGTAAAGGCCAATCCGTTATTAACATCAATCTAAAAATCGCACGTGTGAACTATACGCCCAGACTGCCTTGTATTAATCGTCGACCCGAGGCTGCATGGTCTTCGGAGACTGCGACTCTTGATGTCGAGGATTTTGTTGCTAAGCTTTGCGAGCGCGCACGCTCAAAACCACGTTACATGATGTGTATCACTGATAGATTCTGAAGGAATGTTGAACATTGTCACACAGACATGGCTTGGTGAGATTTATACAACCTGGTGACACATTGCGACCTACGATCTACATTCGCGGGGTCCTTAAACAGCACAGAGGCAGATTGTGACAAAACCTACGAGCTCTTTCGGTTTACAGAATCCCATGGATTACTGTAAAATGGAGAGCTTCGACGATTTATTTCACGCAATCATTTAACGCATTACTTCTTTAGTTTGTTGGTCGATAAACGGATGCATAATTTTATTCGCGGTAACTTGTGGCGTCTACTCCAGTTATGGAAAGTAAAAGTGAAAACAATGTGAAAGAAAAATATGCCCTTAAAAACAAATGTACCATATCCAGTGGGATTTTTTTGGAGGGGGGGGGGGAGATTTTACTCTCAAGGAGCCTTTTGTCAACCCTGTATCCCGCCCTTTGTCTAGGCTCTGGCTACGCGCCTGTCCCCGCCTGTTGTATTAAAGAGAACATGACAGATTGCATTTCCATCACTGCTGCACGCTATTCGTGTATCTTTCCTCCATTGCAAAATAATTTTTGAGGAACACCCAGAAATGATAACACCACATTATAATCAGACATTAACTTGCAGTGACATTGCGCAGTCTGCACTGGGCAGTGCCTATTACGGTGACCGGGCTAACGCACGCAGCTCACAAAGGCGTTTGCGACTTGAAATTCCACCTGCTTACTCCAACGCCGTCTGTTTTTTTTTTTTACCGCGGTGGTCGTCCAGTCTGCCATGGGTGAAACGCCGATGGGATGCATGCGCATCCCGTTCCCCCCCCCCCCCCCCCCACCAGCAAGAACCGGTGCTTGGTGGCGCACCACTGCGACTCGCACCGGGCGAAGGGCGGGCGTTCGGTCGCTAGCGTTGGGAAATCAGCCATAGCACGCGCGGCCAACGCAGTGACGCAGGCAGGCGGGCACAGACTCGACCGGTGTCACGAGTTTTCGGTCGGGGGCAGCTTTTCCAGGACGGAGGGTCTGTGGCAAATAGGGCCCACTCCATCCTGGCTCACTCCGTCCTGCATTACTATATTGTAAAACCTAATTTTTTATATCGTTTTGGTCTCTCTCGCTCCCCCACGCATTACCACTTACTTAAAGCCGGACTAGAAAAATGCACGTACAACATTTTTCAGAGCCCTCATTTTTAGTTCAACTCAGCTTTAGTAGAGCTCTAAAGTGTTCCAAGTTTGTCATGACCCCGATTATAGGCACATGTGACAAAACCCCCCCAAAAAAACAAAGTTCACAAAGCCCGGAAGTTAACACCCGATTTAAAAGCATTCTCAATCAAGATCGCATCCTACTCCCGCTTGCACACATGTTCGCATGCGTCCAGTGTTTCAGAATCTACCGAGGTAACATCGCATCCGTCTCACTTCGCGGGAACGCTGGTCATGGCACCGCGGCAAGCAACTGCTTGTCGAAGTTCTGGTAACGTGCGTCCACCGAAAAACTGTCCCGGGGACGTGTGGATCCGGACTCACGACCCCGACACTGCCGACCACCTGAAGGCAAGTCGGCCCATGTCAGACCACCCGGTCATGTCCGTCACATCTGAGAAGCAGTACACTCCGCTTATTAAATCTACGGATGACAAATCCAGCCGCTTAATGTGGTAAAATTAGTTGTGATGGAATCTCCCTATAACAGTGTGTAGTAAAATCGATCGCTTGCCAAGTTCCAACCTGCGGTTATCAAATCCACCCGATCAGAACATGAGCGATACCCAATCCCGCCCAGGCAAATTAACTCGTTAAAAATGCCATGATCTTGTCGCCACGAAAGCGGCAAGATGGCTTGTGCCAGGAAATAATATGTTTCCACGAAAGCATCTATAAAAGCACGATACACCTCGCATTACTAATATCTTAGTCGAATTATTGGTGGCAATCATTAATCACCTATCATTTGATAATGCTTCTCAAGCCGTTTGCATCAAATGAATGTGTACGCGTTTGCCTAAATTATTCAGTACCTTTACATGTGCAGGAAAGAAAGCAGTGCTCAAAAACACAAAATTCCTTTTTTGCCCTAAACGTGTAGTAGAGATGGCCAGCCGCTTATTAAATCCGTCACTTAACAAATCCAAAGCCTTGGTTATCAAATCCGCCTGATTAGGTGATGATGATTTGGAGTTTTAGGGCGCGTCGACATCAAAGGTCATATTGCACCCATGAGCCAGCATGTAATCCTGCCCAGGCACATTTAAGGGTTCAAAATATCAAGATTTTACATTTGTCAAGAGGCGGCCGTGATGACAAGTTCCAGAAAATTAACTGTTTCCGTTAACAGCATCTATGAAAGCACCATACACATTGCAACACCGATATCTCAGTCGAGTTGATGGTGGAAACCATCCATCAACGACCATTTGATTAACCTTTCTAGCTGCTTGCATGAAATGAATACACACGCTCTTGACCAGATTACACAGCATTCATTTACGGTGGAAGAAAAATGCTCAAAGCCAGGCCATGTTTTCAGCGAAGTCGAGTTGTAGGGAATCGTTCAATCTGATGCAACAACAAAGTGTTTGACGAAGCCATACATCATACAGATGCTTTCTTAGGCAACACAAATATTCAATGAGCAAATGACGTTGATCTAAGGTCAGGTGTAAATGTCAGACCAAAATCAAACCAGCCTCTTTTAATTCTCTAGGGCTTGCTATATGGGATAGTTTCTGGTGCTCATTTCGAATTGACCGATGGCAGGAACCGCATTATACATCTTCCATGGACTTCTCAGAGGTCAGAATAGGTTGTTGACCTAAAACGACTCAGGTCAGCACTTTGTTTTTAGGCATACTGTCTGACGTAATCTTTGTCGCCCATTCAAATGCAAAACTCAGAGCAGTCTTGTATGATATTGGTCACCATGACCTTGAAAAGGTCAAAAAAGGTCACTCACTTTAAATGAGCGTGTGACCTTTTACTCAGAAACAGTTATCTAGGTTCTGGAGGCGCTTTGGAAACCAACCCGGAATTTGACCTTGTTTGACCTTATTTTACCTAAAGGTCATGACCTAGGAAGCTCAAACTTTGACCTAAGTGAGTTCACGTACAGGTTAACACACCCTGCAAATTTTGTATCTCTAGCTTTCTTAGTACCCGAGATCTCAGGGGGGTCACATGGACCCCCACCCGAGCGAAGGATATCTAATCGGCCACCCGGGCGCGTGTTAAATTCGCTGCTTGATAAATCCAGATATCTACGTGAAGAAATGGATTTATTAACTGGAGTCTACTGTACCACATTTCGGTGTTATCGTCTCACATTACGTTCAAACATCCTGAAGGTGGGTCGGCGATCACTGTTCAGGGAGACATACCAGCGCGATATCCAGACCAGGAAACTCGTACGTCTTCTCGTGATGTCATGGAGCTGCTTCATCGAGCGTCTGATCCAGTTCTTCAAGCCTCTGAGGGTGCTGAAGCTCCGCTGTGGTGCTGCGCTGCTGGCTGTAACTGCGACCAGTAGATAAAGAAGTCACTTGGTGGAACATTCCCACGCTCTCCTTCTACTTCACCGTCAACGTCGCCGCTTCATCAAGCGTGGCGAACTATCCGAGTCGGCGAAAGGTCAGCAGGTCATGGAAAAGTTTTTCGGCGCCCAGGCCTCCGGCTCGCGGGTACTACTTCATAGGGGAAGTCGTCCGAGCTCGATCAGGTGGATCCAGGAGTCGCTCCATCTTTCATGCCCGTCAAGTTAGAATCACATTCGTAATCGTGATCTAGGAAGGCTGCTTTTGGAAATATAAACTATACTCTAAATTCGAATACAAATACGACAGTCACTCAACGAGCATGAAAGAACGATGAAAGGAGGCGATTCTTAGCACGATATGAGTGCATTTCTTTTAGACTATGCCCAAACGACTCTGCACCGGGGACCAGGTGTGCCACGCGACGAGCAGCACGCAAATTGTCGCACCGATTTGGATGAGTGGCACATACCTAAGGCAGACTACCGGTGATGCAGAATCAGGGTCTGAGTATGTTTAACAACTGTACAGTGAGTACCTCATTTTGCGACCGACGCAAACAGACCCAAGTGACAGAGTTGCTGTCCCCATTTGGGAACGGAACCGGTGGTGTTGCCGGGGAGTCGCAATATTGTAATGCTGCGGTCCTGCAAAATCATGAAACGCGCAAAAGAACAAACTTTTTCGTCGTTGAACCCTCATTTTTAGACCACCTCTCCGTTCAATCAAGTTCGGGGCCGCCCCTTCCCCTATCAAGTTCGGGATCGCCCCTTCTCCTATCAAGTTCGGGGTCACCCCGTTTAGGTTGGAAATCCCACAAGTTTCTCGAGAATTGGCGCGTCATCTGGCATGTCCGTAGATCTCATCGCAGCTGCCATTTACTATATTGTATGACTCGATATGTGAACAGCTGAGGTGCCATTGGAAAATTCGTTACATCTGCCCCCACAAACAGGAATGTAGGGTGAAGTAGCAGGAATGCAGGGTGCAACAGGAATGTAGGGAGAAGCCGAAGTGCGTTTCGAAAAGACCCACTGCGGTAAACACCGTAGGGAATAAATCTAGGCCATGGTATATAGGCTCGTCGAATTCGCGGGACGCTTGCCTCATGTTTTTCATATCTATTGCTCTAAACAGAGCGTTTCAAGCTTTCGCTGCGTTCATTCCACAAACATTTTATCCCCCAGCACGATCATAACAGAACACAGGCGTTGCAAAAGGCAACACAAATCAAATGCGTTGCTTCCATGGTGGTGAGCAGGGGATTCAATGACATTTTTCCGACAGGAACGCCTACTTCAAACCAAAATGTTGAGCTATTCAAAATAATTTCTAGAAAACTGGTGTAACGGACCAAGTTGGACGTGTCTGATCAAACAATACGTGAAAAGGACAAACGATGACACACTCTTGTTAACGCAGATGCGATAACCACTACACTATCGCCACCCTCCATTGTTCACTTCGAGAAGTGCATAATGCAACAGCAATGACAGTAACACTTTCAACTTATAACTTGCTTACAACTTCCAGCAACATGCTTTTCAGGCACCAAACCAGGGCAGCAAATATCTACACGAACGCGGATTACGCAATTGTATTGAGGATAACCATATACCGCTTACTTCTATCAAAACGTTTTCGTTGATCTACCTCTCAACATCGACATAATGACTGTAAACTTCGATGTTGATGCATCGGATGACTATCGAATCGATATCGGATTGGCATCGGATGACATCGGATTGACATCGGATGACATCGGATTCTGCCTGGCCGGACTACCTCAGACACAACAGTGGACCGCAGCACACGACACCGACAGGGAGACGCGCGCCCGAGCAGCACCTCTTACACCCATTCCAAAGACTCATACGCGGAATACGATCCTCGGCGACTGGCCGGTGCCACCATGTGCCATCCCTGCGTGCGTCAGCGTGTCTACAGTGCAACGCACCGCTCCGAGCCGGGACCATCCACCTCACCCTAGGACGTGAACTATCGCCACACTCAGCCCGCATGCTGACGCCCCGCACCGGGTCATGGTTTACGGCCACAGCTGACGATAGTAAATCACATTCCCGAGGAATTAACATCGAGGACGCAAATTCCGGTGGCCGGAATTCGGGGAACAGCCAGGTATTTGTGGTAGGTTAGGTAAGCCCTTCCGGTTGGGTCCCCCAACCGAAAGTAGTAAGTGATGCCCCTGTGAAGAGCTCCCAAAACCTCAATGCGTCAGCGCGGCAATTATCACGTCATGAGGGGAAGGACGCTTTGGGACGTCAGGCCCTTACCCAACATTTAACAAATTTAGTACTAGGCTTGCGGCGGTGCATGGGGAGGAGCGACCCCAGTGCCTGTGAGAGCTCTCCAACAGCTCTCCTGCCTCGGTGGAGGGGTAAACGGTGTTTTCACCAGCGTAGATTTGTCGTGGCTCTCCTAAATGCCAGGCCGTACTTTTTCCAAACTGATGCAATGACATATTTCAATTATAAGAACTTTGAACTAGCTTAGAAGATCAGCTTAAGCTCGGCATAATGGCGTATGAAGACTCTGTTTGCGGTAATGTGTCCTCCATGGCGCATTTAAATGCGACGACTGTGAATGCGCCCCCACTACAAACACGGCTCGCATTCATTGCACAATTTCTAGAAAATCTTTAACGAACAGCTCAGAAAAAAGACAAAAATCGTACTAGTTGAAGAGATACTCGTTTTTTATATCGAGACCTTTGTCGCCACCGAGTTGCCAAGCGCGTGCGCTGTAGACGTTTGCTCGTTTGGGCGCAATGTGATCTCTCCAACGGCGTTAAAAGTTTGACGGCCAGGCCGACTTAAAACCGTCTTGTTCGAGTTAGAGTTTCTCCGCCCCTCCAAGTCGCAGTCAGCTATCGACAGAAGTTTCCGAGCGTCAACACGATGATTGACGGTTGTGACTGCCTTCAAAAGCACCTGGTGGATATTTCACCCAGGGAGCTCATGGTTTCATGCAACACGTAGTTCCTGAACCGCTCTATATAAGCGCCTCGCGCTGCACCTGGGACCTCTACCCCGGCGGAAAGCAGTGCCTACTGGGAAGAGCTGGTGATCACCCACGCATACCAGCCGCGCTGGCGCCGTTCGCGTCGCTGAGGCGTGCACAGGCGTCCAAAAGCCGTCCTGCGCAGACCCCTGGCGACGCCGGCCCCGGTCGCCGCGGCGGAGGGACGGCCGGCGGCGTGCAAGACGGCCAGACCGCCGCACCCAGGGGCAGGTGCAGAGGCGGAGCACACGCCCGTAAGTGGAGGAGCCTGCCGACAACCCGCTGGGGCGGTGTGCATCGCACGGAGCCTGAAGATCAGGTGAGGTCAGGTGGGGCCCTCGTTGGACAAGACAACACCCTTCCACGTGGTGCCCGTGGGGGAGGGGGTGGAGAGAGCAGGGCGCTCTCGAGCAGCGCTCTCCCCAAGCGGCGGCGCCCCTGGCCCGGCCATCTCAGTGGCTCATGGAGACTGCGATACAAATTATAACGGTAGCGATGCCTCGCCTGGGCCACCCATAGCGGAAGCGACATGAGCTGGTCAGATATGACGGCTGTGGAGGGCGTAGTAGATTTTCGTTGGTATGGTAGAACGGCGATGGTGTATGCCTTCCCTCTCCGCCTGGATTCGGGCTCCTGGTATTGGTTTAGCAGCACAGCGGAGGGCTAGATTCGGGTCGTTGAGCGAGTTAACTGGGCGCACGAGGCCTTGAATAGGAGCGTGTTGTCATGCGGCGTCCTACAGAGATACCAGACCGCGGGGGGAGGGGGCTGCAGGGTTTGGTAGAATGACTGGTGAATATCACCATCGATATGCATTCATTTTTGGCGGAAAGCTGATCACTAGACACTCGGGAGCAACGGACGCTTATTGACACCAATGTTAAACCCACAGTAGATGATGGGTGCCAAGCTCCATATTGGCGCTGCTTGCGGCTACGTTTTCTTAACCTTATATTTGATTTGGCATATCAACACAAAGGACATTTTGACAAAAATTAAAATACATTTCTGAGCGTTGCCGAATGGTGGCGTTTGACATTGGTAAGTGTGTCAGGGGCGCAAGCGCAGGGGAGGCAAACACCTGTGGCCCGTTTGCGCACCAGCGGTGACATGCTCGTTACCGCCTGGCTGCATCGGTGTATGCAGTTCAGACAGTTATCGTGCCATGGCTATGGCGCACCCGCAGGCGCGACACGTGGGCGGAAGCACAAACTGTGACTCGTGGTGCATGACGTTGCTATGACAACAAAACTGGCCCGGATGGCTGAAACTACGTGCGCGACCGGTGTTGGGTCATGTATGCAGCGACAGATAACGACCACCTTTTGTGCGGGAGCTGGCTAACAGGCCGTTCAAATAGAACAATCCTGAAAGCGATGGGTGCAGCGCAGAGTCCGATTCGACCACGGAATCGGAAATACTTTCGGAGAGCTAGGATGGAATCGATAACTGTTTCGAGCTAGGCGAGTCGGGGTTGTAGAGAAGCCGCGCGCCTTGCATCGAATTAGCGATAGGTCTACTGAAATGAAAGTGTACGTATCGATGGCGTAATCAGGACCGTGAAATTGCAACTAACGATACCTTTCTACACCGGCACTATTTTTCAAAGCAGCGGTAGGGCAGATATCTATTTAAATAGTACAACACTTAATGTTTTACTGTCTTAGTAATTATTATCAACACATACGACATGTGCTCAACGCATTTAGCCCGTAGAACTCACCATAGCGGAGATGTTTTCACCGGAACTGACTCCATCTGAATCCATTCGGGAATAAATTCTTATTTCCCTGCAGCAGAGTCAGATATTGTTTATAAGTGTGCTGTGCTGCTTAAAGTCAGATTGGAAGTTTAAGCGCCTTAAAAATAGACCCTGCCGAAGATGAGTACAACACAAGTCTGGAGCAAGCTCGCGTCAGGCATCGTACAGAATAATATTCTGAATGGTCTGACTGTGTCTTGGTCAAGGTTATCGTGTTTTTTAAAGTCTTTCCACCGTATAACGTGGAGGTTTTTATCGTCCAACAAAACAGCCAAGGATACGCATGCTATTACATACGCAACAACCAGAATGGTGGATGATTCCCCTCGCATTTACGTTCCGTCTATACGGACAAGTCAGATATGGCGGAATAACACACATGTTACTTGGCTCTGCAAAAACGTGATCGGTTCTTGGCTGGCGTCGATACTCGCCAGAACGACGGCGATGTTTGCCAAACTGTGTTTGCGCGGGACGTGATTTAACCCTGTTTCTCGATTTTACATTCTAACCTTGTGTACTGGTATCGCCGTTTAATTACGGTGAAATGTTGCCCGGGTCGACGGCTTTCCCTCTGTTCTTCCCCTCAGTCCCCTCGGTTTACCTATACCGATGCCACCGCCTTGGTCATCAGTATTGCGATCGGTGTCACGTCGGTGCTGCTCGGAAGCTTGCAGGAGTTTGGAAGTTCGAGAGTTCGGGAGTTAGGGGAGCATCGAGAATTCAGCCGATGGCGTAGCTGAACCTTGACCCCAGGTCCCCGGCCTCGTCGTCGTGCAGAGACCGGTCTGCGAGGATTCCTGCGGACACGCACGATCATTCGACTTCGCGAGAAGCAAGTTCGTATGCGAGAGCGGAGTTTCCGTTCGATTGTGACTTGATTTCTCTCGATCGGCACTGGCCATGCCATGACGATGGGAGGGCAGAAAGAGGTGAATGGTGAGGCAACAGTGCGGCAGTCATGGGAAACGTCTGCGCTGACGAGTCTGGCGCCGCGCAGAGACACATGTTTGTTGCAAACATCTCCGGGGTTTGCACAGGGCTCGGGGCAGGGGAGAGGGCTTCGGCCTTGCTCAGATGACGCCAACTCGAGGCTGCCGACCGCAGCTTACCTCGAAGACACGTGGCGTTGCTATGATTCAGGATTGAAACGATTAGTGAGGAGTGCTGTGCTGATGATGAATGAGTCGTTTGAAAGAGAACAAACGCCTTCCTTGCCCACTTACGGAACGTTGTAATGCGATTTCGGTATGGATGCTGCTGACAGGACCTATACCTTAATCCCTCTCTCGAAGTGTAGTACGCCTAAAGTTACGTAATCCCTAGATCGGACTTCCTGGAATCCGCCCGGTCGCCTGGACCGTGCCGTAACCGGCTCTTGCCTGGCCTTACGTCACCGGCGGTCTGCTGGCGTGGGCGTGGGCTCCGGCGAGGCCGGACGCCTGCCGAGGAATGTGCACCGGTCCAGGCCGGACGCAGCTCGCGGAAGGTGCCTTTCGGTCCGCCAGCCGGTGACGTCACACCAGACCGGTGACGCCACACTCAGGGACGCTGGCGAATGGGCATGTAGTCGCTCTCACACTTGCCATAACTGTTCTTCACTTCTACGCCTTCGGCTGGGATGTCCAAGTTTGGCTTTTTGCTGCTCGTTTGCGTTTCCCCTCAGGGGTTCTGTCGGTATATCTGGCCGTAACACGGTCACGTTTCACGTTCATGTTATGCCTCCTGGTGTAAGCTAGAATACTTAAGTAGAGCCGTTCACTCGAGAATTGAAAAAGTCCGGAACGGCATCAGAAAACATAAAACGTTAATTCGAGTCTCTGAATTGCTCCTTCAGAGCCACCACCTGGGCTTGTTTGGTGTAGATCAAGGCCTTTTCGGCCAATAATGACCATCTCAGGGCTATGGGATGAAGGAGAGTGGATAACGATCTGGCAGAACTGCATACACTTCGAGGTCGATCTACCGAAACTTAGCCTGCAGAAGGATTCCCGTACGGGGTATCTGTAACTGCATCTCTGCACGCGGACCGGTCCCCAACGGGGACCACGAAGTCCACTCATAGCTGGCGCATACAGCTTGGCCCCGAACAAACGGGGCGTCGCAGGGATGCAGAATACAGCGAGAATGCGGAAATAAAAACGAATATGGGTTCGTGGATTTTGCATGGACATTCCGCCGTACGTTTATAACGTCCCGAAAGTAAAATTCAAGGCCCCACGTCTTCACGGCCGTTGTTGCGTTTGTTCAGGCATCATTGTACACTTGACAGCTCAAGTAACAAAAGCGTGGGAACCCGATGAAATTGAAACTAAAATTGGTTGGTGTCATTCATTAAACATTTGGTGTCACTTCGGAAGGGAACTCAGCACGCACTCCTCCGACGTCTCCCTTACGCTTGCCCTCGTGAGGAGCGCGAGGACTGGGTTGGAGACGTCCCTGGCGAGTGGGTGGCGAGCGGGGGCGACCGAACGCGCTGGACCGGCACGCTGACTGTACAGCCACAGACCGGAGCGCGTGGGTGCCAAAGCCCGGCTCGCCAAACTGTGACATCAGCTCTGGGAAAGGGGGACGGGGCTGGGCGCGGCTGGCGTGCCGGCCCGCGTGGTGCACGAACCGCGGCACACAGTCCACTTGTGACGGGCCGGCGGTGCAGGGTGGTCGCGTGGAACGAAGGCCGCGCGCCTCGGTCTGACTGCAGCGAGTCTCGGTGGCTGGCGCCAGTCGGTCCGGATCGTCGCCCTGCTGTCCAGGCGGTATGTATGCACGTCTCACGTGCGGGGTCTCACGGTCTGCCGTCACGCGCCCCGCCCACAGCTCCGAATATGGGCCTCAAATAACATTCGTTATATGTGACCTCCGTGTTTGTGTGTCCGTCCGCTCGTGTTATCGCGCCGTGTCTTTCCACGCCAACGTTGTTTATGAGGGGCGCCGTCCGGGACGCATCGGGCAATCGGCACGAGTTTAGAACTGTAACCGATGACTCGATGTCACCGACCGACGCGTAGAAGAAACATATATCCGTCGGATGGGACGTGTGGTGATGTTATTTCGCGACAGTAGCGTGTCCAATGACCATGGCAGGCGCACGTGTGTTGCTCTCGTCCCTATTCTGAGGGAGTGGTGAGGTTTTGCTGTAAGGCCTTGCACGTTAATCACGTATTCCTGTCTGTCAATAACGTATTCCTGTACCCCTTTCTCCGGGGCACAGACCCGCCAAACGGGATGGGTTGAGTGAACCGCCGACACTGCCCCGCTCCCACACAGCACGGCGTGGCCATTCTAAGGCTATCGCTTGGGAAAGCGGCCCAGTTTTCCTCACTGGTTACCAGCCACGGGCCAGCGCCCTGACTGCCGTCGGCTTTGGCTGCTGGGTGGGGCTACAGGTCACATAATACAAACCGATGGTGTATTCTGTTGTATTCAGAATACAAACCGAGGTTGTATTGCGTTGGCTGGGTTCGAGTCAGTGTCTCCAGTTTTGGCGTCAGCCATGCTCTAAACGCTGCTACGAGGGTGCACTGGAGGCCACCTGTTGGAGGAGTGCAACCTGCCGCTATCAGGAAGGGTAACGCTAGGGGCTGCATGGTACTGTCTGTTCGCTGCGCAGTGGCAGAGGCTGGATGACCACAGCCGGCTCTATCAGCGCGCAAGGGCAGACGTTATAAACATCTCTGTGCTGCAGAGGGCAGTGTTGAGACATCTGGTATTATTTGTGTGCAAAGGGTGTGCGGTTCGGGGTCAGCGAGAGTCCATCTCCTTAATTTGCATGTCATCTTTAGCAGAGGATTCGGAAATGCTCATGTGTGCTATATCCTGTTACCAGGCAGCCGACGTCTGTCTGCACGGCTGAGTGGACGAGACAGTGAATGTGTTGGACCAACCGCCTTCCGGAAAACTGGCATCTTTCGCCAACACCTTAGGAGCCCCGCCGCTCCGCAGTGTGATTCGGCAACCGACCTCTCCGTTCGTCATCGGTGAACGTGTCCTGACGCCTCTGCTGGCGGTCTGTTGCAGAACGCGGCACCATGTCGGCCATGAACGAGACCACGTTTACGGTGCAAACGGGCGGCGACAACGACGCCATGCAGGTGCCCGACGGCATCGAGACGGTGGTGGTCAACGACAACGCCGAGCGCGTCATCGTGCCGGCTGGCGTCGAGGTCATCCGCCTGCAGATGCCGAAGGGCGGCGGCGGCGGTCAGCGAAGCCGCAGCCGCAGCCGCAGCCGCAGTCCCGACTGGAGCACGCGCGCCTCCAGCGGCCGCAGCGAAAGCCCCAGCTCCTACGGCGACATGATCGACGAGCTGGTGCGCGCCAAGCGGTCGACCGTCAGCGAGGCGGTGCAGGCGTCGCCGGCGGCCGTCAGCGAGGCCGTGCAGACGCCGCGCGCGCCGGCTAAGGTCGAGAAGTCGCTCTCGCTGCCGAGCGTGCCGGCCACGCCGCCCGGCTCGCGCACGGAGGGCACCGATGTGCCCGACTTCAGGCCGGCGGCGCGGCCGCCGCCGCTGGCCGCGCCCGAGCGCGACGCCTTCGACGACCGCACGCTCGAGGTGGGCAGGAAGCGCGACATCTTCGACGACCGCACACTCGAGGTGGACAAGAAGCGCGTCATCGGACAGCAGCCGGCCGGCATCGGCAAGCCCGGCGCCGCGCCGGCGCCGGCCAACGGCAAGGCCGTGCGCTACGCCGGCGACGTGGAGAGCGAGCTGCGCGACCCGCTGGTCGGCCAGCGCAGCGTCAAGATGCGCCACCACGACTCGTTCGGCTGGCGCGAGGAGTTCGAACGCGTCGAGAGCGAGCAGAAGAAGCCGCTCGTGCAGAGGATGGGCCGCTGTCTGGCCGACGTGCTCTGCTGCTGGATGGGCGTGTGAAGCGCACCGGCGCGCCGGCCCGTCTCGAGTCTCCACGTGGGATTCGGCGGGTGGGCGGACGTGCATTTCCACGAACCAGCGCTGACCTCACATGATCCCAGCGCCACGGACCGTCGGGCCGGCGATAGCGCTGGCGCCCGGCCCACGGCCAATGGCAGGCGGCGAACGGCGATGCGCGGTGACGTCACGCACGGAGCTCGCCCACCCTACTCGCCGCTCTCAGGGGACTGTGCAGCGCGGAATTTTGACGGTAAACCCCGGCGATCCCGGGACGGTCATTGGCGGAGGGCAGCGGAGGGCCGTCTGCTGCCGCGGTCATGTTTTGTATGTTATTTTCGATCGACAGCGCTGCTCGGCTCTGGCGGATTTCAATACTAATGATGTTCAAGCTCAAGCGCGACTTGCCTCTTGTGAGTCGCGTTCCAGACACGGCATGTCATATTTTTGTACCGCATAACAAGCTCCATTAGTCAGTAAGCGCTTGATACAACTGTCTTGCTTTTTTAAGCCCTGAAGCAACAACGGAGGTAGCTGGAGTAAAGGCTGTAGTGCAAGTGATCGTCCTTTTGCGATACAGTTGCATACTGCTTTCGGCATTTACCTGATGAAACCATGTGGATGTGTTGTCTGGATTTGCGTACCAAGGATTTCTGTGGTAGTATTTAGCTGCATTTACACAGCTTGTGAGCTATCGTCATACGCTGTCAAGTGCATGCCATATTTTGCTGTGCGTGAATGCCATGCCTTTCCTTTGTACGTTGTAGTTCCGCCAATATTGGTGTCCAGCAACTATTAGCAGTAGTCTCAACACTGGACTGATATTCAGTCGCACTTAGCAATAAGCCTTCATCTTCGTCACTGAAAATATATGAGCTAAGTTTTCAACGTGGATGTATTCCTCACTTCATTTCGTCTCTTCAAGCGCCAAATATGTAGCTTTTCTGGTCGTAGTTTTCCGCCCTTAAACAACTACCTACAGCGCCAGGCGGCAGTGTATCGGCCTGTCTGCCGCCTGTCGCCTGTCGACAGTCCCCGGATCCGAATGCTCAGCGGTGTACTTTTGCAAGGGGGGGGGGGGGCGGAGTAGCGAAATGACTAAATGTGCCTGAAACGTATAAAAAACGGGCTTATCACCGAAGCTGGCCCGGTTTCCTCTCCAAGCTCGGGGGTGGAGCCTCCCAAATGAATGAAGATGTTCACGGTCTCCCGACTTCTGCTTTAGTTATGCCTTGCGATTGTGATTCACAAGTTTGAGCTGCCTCTTATGTCAATGAAGAACATGGGCCTGCAGCAGATGACCATGTTCGCGGGTTATCACTTTTAGTGTCATGAAAGCCCGCCCCGCCCCGCAGTGCAAATTTGAAAACCCCCGGCCTACAAGCAAATTAGTTTGAAAACAGGCCGCTTAGACCTGCAACCCAGTACTTTATCTCAGCTGTAAACTTATCTCACCATAAGCACATCTGGAATAACACAATAGGGATAGCAAGAATGTGCGCTCATCGCAATCCGAGCGAGCAAAATAATCCGCATTTCACGCGTGGCTCATTCGTTTCACGCACGTGTCGTATGATATATGCCAATTGATCGCTTAAAGACCAAATTATGTTTTCACCCACAGCGGAAACATGGCTATGCATGAGACAAACATAATGCTGCACTAGAAAATTTGAACTAGTCTCGCTACTGCCGCTTGAAATGCCTCTCAGTGCATTAGATAGGCGAGAGAGTTCAGTCAGTTTGCTCTGAAAAATGACTAGGCTGATGCCTAGACCACAACCTGCACCCTCCAGCATTCATCCTTAATTCTTGACCGCATCAGAAAATGCTTCCACGTTGAAACTGCAGCCATAGAGGCGAAAAGTGATATTTTTACACTCATAGGATGGGTCGCTTTTCGTGCGAATGATTCGTGATTAGCTTTAAACCTTTGTCCATTTTTACGAATCGTTTTGAAGCAAATGCCAACAGGCAAGGCTATCGGAAGCGACGATAACTGCCTGCCAACCAATGAACAGAAACTTGCTACATAAAGGGCAGGAAGAAAACATTGCCACATTTCCGCGAGGAAGTACACACGATAAAGACGCGAGAAAGTCAAATGTAAAGAAAGCGAGCGCCGCACGCTCACCTGAGCAAATGTGAAAGGTTTGAATGAGCTGTTTTCAGCACTAATTGATCAGCAGTAACCACTATTCGTCTGCAAAAATTTTCACCACGAACCCTTTGGGTTTTGACCTGTCGTCTCTGCTCATTCTGAGTCACTTGTTATGCTTTCATATTTCTGGTGGGAGGGTGTGGGGGGGAGGGGGCGTTCCTTTTAATGAGAATATGTCAGTTTGAACGATGATAAACACGAGTTTTACTAACCGCTGCTTAGCTTTACATCACGTACTACCCATGTTTTGCAAATCCATACACGCGTTTTGCTACACAACCTAATGCTAGTAAGTAATTGATCCCCTTGGCGTGCAGCCTAGGCAAAGTAATATGCCTTTAGGGTCCCTCTTCAAATAAAATTTGACTATTAAACTCTCACAGCTCGCCAGAACTCACCAGTTTGCCAGCGATACCTGCCAAAATATTTCCGCTTTACGCGTGCTTTGCGAGCCTTTGGGCTCTGAAGTGGCAGCTCTAGCCAGCATGACACTGATCGGCGCGCTCAGGACATGCTGGTCTGTTTACGACGGGGCGTGCCGCGATAAACTCGGCACGAAATTGCATCATTTGCACGACTGGTGCCGTGCGGCTGCCTCACCAGATCAGTTTCGGGCTGTGACGGCAAAAGCGGTGCTGCAAGTAGCGTCGCGGAGGGCATTCAGATATAAGTCAGGCTCAATCGATGCGTTTATAAAACTGTCTCGTGTTACTGAAGGTCATGTTCGCAGCGTTCTCGGCTTTAAAAAAAAGCAAGGGCCGTGAAACCCACCACTATTGCCGGTCAGTGGACTGAGGGAGACGCGGCCCAACCCCCGTTTTCCGCCGACTCGACTCGCCCCTGCGGCGGCGTGCCGACCTGCGGAGAACCGTATACAAGAGCCGGGTATCGGGCTCCGCGGGTGATGTCGGCACTCCGCTCCAGCTCCCGCCAGACGACCGGGAGCGGCGCGATCATCGGGCGTCGGCTGTAGCGCTGCCGCCGCCCCTGGCCGCCGCTCGCGTGCCGGAAGCGCGACACTTCCGCCGGCAGCGCCCCGCCCCTCCGGCAGCCGTGAGCGCGCTCGCAGCAGCGCAGACCGGCCGTGCTCACAGGTGAGTGGGGATGGGGCGCTGAGTGCACCGTCGGCAGCTGGGTGTGGTCCACCTCCCCGCACAGAACTGCCGACGCAGCGTCGGCGAGTGACGGGCTGCTGGCTACAACGGACTTCGCCTGAAAGTCAACCAAACAGAAGACTGTGGAGACTTAGTGTCACAAAGATGCCGTTTTTCTCAGTGTTTACATCGCTGCCCACAACTACGTCCTTGTCCCACGGGACGCCATGGGACGCCCTGGCGTTATGGTCTGCTTAGGCCATCTCCATGTACCGGCTGCCTCTGAATGCGAGCCACTTCCCTCTCTTACTTCAGTCCGGTGAAGCAACCTCGGAGTCTTTCTCCCCCGCGGCGCAACATCATAACTGCCCCCCATTATCTGCAACGGACTCGGTGCCGTGAGTGCTCCCGTGGTTTGTGCCAGACGGGAACTGCTGTCTCGGTCACCTCGCGTGGGACGACAGACGCTCAGGCCACCGGGAGGAGGCCACGACCACGGCCGGTTGTGTTTATCTCCTTCGTTCCGCGACGCTTCTGAAACATGTCTGTCATCAGTTCGTCGTTTCGACGATCCATTAAATAGGCGCCGTGTGCGGCGCATTACGTCATCGCTGCCGTTTGAGTGATCACAATTGGCCCGCCCTGATCACCACGCGACACGACAATCAGTCGTGAGCGTGCCGCCGCAGTTTGTCAGAGCTGGCCAGCCCGTCGGGGATCGAGGCGCTCATAACACCAGACGCCACGAGTAGGTCGAGCCACGACGGTGCCGTCACCGACACAAGGTGTGCAGCATCCCGACCGCTCCAGCGCGAGAGGTCAGCTCCATCCCGGTAACGCGCCTCGAGAACCGCCGAGCCAGCGGCGGCGCTCCTTCTCCCTCGCATCAGCAGACGTGCCCCGTCACCGTGCCAGCGGCGTGTTCAGCGGCAGTGGCCCGGTGCGCCGACACATGACTCCCCTGACGTCACCGGCTGACCCCGGCGGTCACGAGGAGGCCCGCCGCGTCGCCGGCTGGCCCCAGTCCGGCAGACTCCAAATAAACGGCCCCGAAGGACGCGTCATGCCGCACCGCGGCTGGTGTCGGGCCGGCCGGGTGTGCACGGTTAGCGGTGCCGGGCCAGAGCGCAGGCCTCGTCACGGCCAGAGGGCCGCGGCTGCAGCGAGCTGGTGGTGCCGCTCAGTGAAGGCGGGCCGGTGAGCGACCGAGCTCGGTGAGTTGGTGACTGGGCTCGGTGAGAGAGCGGCTGGGCTCGGCGAATGAGCTAATTAACTTGGTGAGTGAGCGGCTGGGCTAGGCGAGTGAGAGGCTCGGTTCGATGAGTGAGTGGCTGGTCTCGGTGAGTGAACGACTGGGGTCGATGAGTAAGCGGCTAGGCTAGGCGAATGAGCTAATGGGCTTGGTGAGCGAGAGCCTAGGCTCGGTGAGTGAACCACTGAGTTCGGTGAGTGAGCGACTGACCTCGGCGAGTGAGCGGCTGGGCTCGACGGATGAGCTAATGGGTTTGATGAGTTGATGACTGGGCTCGGTGAGTGAGCAACGGAGCTCGGTGAGCGAACGAATGGATTCGGTGAGTGATCAACTGACCCCGATGAGAGAACGACAGGGCTCGACGAATGAGCCAATCGGCTTGCTGACTGAGAGTCTGGGCTCGATGAATGAACGACTGGGTTCGGTGAGCAGGCGACTAAGGCCGGTGAGTGGGTGACTGGTCTTGGTGAACGGACAACTAAACTTATTTGGTGAGATATATGAATAGGAGTTAGCTGCCTGTCATGTGAGTTGGAAGCGCAGCCAGTGCCGGCCGACTTCCAGTAATCTTACGGAATGTTTTTCTCATGGTGGTATCATATTTTAGACTTTGTGCAGAGTTCTGCCGAATCGAACCCAATGTCTTCAGATATGTTGAAGGGGGTCGAAGAAGTTGAGATCTTTAGACGACGGGAGGAAAAAAAGAGCTATTTATTGACTTCGACAATGTTTTCGATCTGAAAAATAGTGAAACCGTATAATGCTCAAATTGTTGGGGTTTTACCCATAAGCTTTCTGCAGCAGTTTTTACTTTGAAAGCATTCACTTCTACGTGGATGGCAGTTTGGCTCTATGTATCTTTAAACAGACGCCATAGCTCACAATTGTATGTGCTGGACGAGTGTCTTTTTACGTTCACTTACGTGACCACAGCGCTTCTTCGTCTCGTCTTAGTCTTTGTTGTGTGGGATTCAAAACTTGTGTGCCAATACCACAAATAACTCCAGATTTATCGCGAGCAGCAGCATTTTAATTTCTTAAACTTGTCCTATATGCAAATCAATAAAAGCAGCCGATGCTTTGTCGCCCGTGCCATAATCGCGTAGAAGAAGCCTGGCAATTTAATGCATGCGCAGCTAAGCAGCGATAGCCGTCCCGTGGCAGCTCCACTGTGACCTCGCGCGCGCTTGCTGTGACTGTGGGGGAGAGGCGCGGGAGGATCGGCTGCCGCTGGCTGCGGAACGACGTGAGAAGCATATCGGTGGAGAGGTCACCTTGACCCAGCTGGTGTCACGCGTGCGACGGAGAGGCGTGGCACATGCAGCGAAACTCCAGTTCAAAACAACTCCCACTGCACACACGCGAC